GTAACATGACAGTTGGGGGGGGGGGGGGGGGGGGGGTAATGTAACATGACAGTTTAGGGGATAATGTAACATGAAAGTTAAGGGGGGATAATGTAACACGACAGTTTGGGGGGGATTGTGTAATATGACAGTTTAGGGGGATAACGTAACAGGACAGTTTTGTGGGAATATGTAACATGACAGTTTAGGGGATAATGTAACAGGACAGTTTAGGGGATAATGTAACATGACAGTTTGGGGGGATTATGTAACATGACAGTTTAGGGGAATATGTAACATAACAGTTTAGGGGCATAATGTAACATGACAGTTTGGGGGGATTATGTAACATGACAGTTTAGGGGGATAATGTAACAGGACAGTTTGGTGGGAATATGTAACATGACAGTTTAGGGGATAATGTAACACGACAGTTTGGGGGGGATTGTGTAATATGACAGTTTAGGGGGATAATGTAACACGACAGTTTGGGGGGGATTGTGTAACATGACAGTTTAGGGGGATAATGTAACAGGACAGTTTAGGGGGATAATGTAACATGACAGTTTGGGGGATAATGTAACATGACAGTTTAGGGGATAATGTAACATGACAGTTTAGGGGAATATGTAACATGACAGTTTAGGGGAATATGTAACATGACAGTTTAGGGGATAATGTAACATGACAGTTTAGGGGAATATGTAACATGACAGTTTAGAGGATAATGTAACATGACAGTTTAGGGGAATATGTAACATGACAGTTTAGGGGATAATGTAACATGACAGTTTAGGGGAATATGTAACATGACAGTTTAGGGGCATAATGTAACATGACCGTTTGGGGGGATTATGTAACATGACAGTTTAGGGGGATAATGTAACAGGACAGTTTGGTGGGAATATGTAACATGACAGTTTAGGGGATAATGTAACACGACAGTTTGGGGGGGATTGTGTAACATGACAGTTTAGGGGGATAATGTAACAGGACAGTTTAGGGGGATAATGTAACATGACAGTTTGGGGGATAATGTAACATGACAGTTTAGGGGATAATGTAACATGACAGTTTAGGGGAATATGTAACATGACAGTTTAGGGGAATATGTAACATGACAGTTTAGGGGATAATGTAACATGACAGTTTAGGGGAATATGTAACATGACAGTTTAGAGGATAATGTAACATGACAGTTTAGGGGAATATGTAACATGACAGTTTAGGGGATAATGTAACATGACAGTTTAGGGGAATATGTAACATGACAGTTTAGGGGCATAATGTAACATGACCGTTTGGGGGGATTATGTAACATGACAGTTTAGGGGGATAATGTAACAGGACAGTTTGGTGGGAATATGTAACATGACAGTTTAGGGGATAATGTAACACGACAGTTTGGGGGGGATTGTGTAATATGACAGTTTAGGGGGATAATGTAACAGGACAGTTTAGGGGGATAATGTAACATGACAGTTTAGGGGATAATGTAACATGACAGTTTAGGGGATAATGTAACATGACAGTTTGGGGGGATTATGTAACATGACAGTTTAGGGGATAATGTAACATGACAGTTTAGGGGATACTGTAACATGACAGTTTAGGGGCATAATGTAACATGACAGTTTGGGGGGATACTGTAACATGACAGTTTGGGGGGATAATGTAACAGGACAGTTTGGTGGGAATATGTAACATGACAGTTTAGGGGATAATGTAACATGACATTTTAGGGGATAATGTAACATGACAGTTTAGGGGATAATGTAACATGACAGTTTGGGGGGGATTGTGTAACAGGACAGTTTGGTGGGATAATGTAACATGACAGTTTAGGGGATAATGTAACATGACAGTTTGGGGGGATTATGTAACATGACAGTTTAGGGGATAATGTAACATGACAGTTTAGGGGATACTGTAACATGACAGTTTAGGGGCATAATGTAACATGACAGTTTGGGGGGATACTGTAACATGACAGTTTGGGGGGATAATGTAACAGGACAGTTTAGGGGAATATGTAACATGACAGTTTAGGGGATAATGTAACATGACAGTTTAGGGGATAATGTAACATGACAGTTTAGGGGATAATGTAACACGACAGTTTGGGGGGGGATTGTGTAACAGGACAGTTTGGTGGGATAATGTAACATGACAGTTTAGGGGATAATGTAACATGACAGTTTGGGGGGATTATGTAACATGACAGTTTGGGGGGGATTGTGTAACATGACAGTTTAGGGGATAATGTAACATGACAGTTTAGGGGATAATGTAACATGACAGTTTAGGGGATAATGTAACACGACAGTTTGGGGGGGATTGTGTAACATGACAGTTTGGGGGGATTATGTAACAGGACAGTTTGGTGGGATAATGTAACATGACAGTTTAGGGGATAATGTAACATGACAGTTTAGGGGATAATGTGACATGACAGTTTAGGGGATAATGTAACACGACAGTTTGGGGGGGGATTGTGTAACATGACAGTTTAGGGGAATATGTAACATGACAGTTTAGGGGCATAATGTAACATGACAGTTTGGGGGGATTATGTAACATGACAGTTTAGCTGGATAAGTTAACATGTAATCATGCAAAATCTAGTTTGGCAAAATCTACCTAAATCAATTAATATAAATTGCCATTCTCCGAGTATTTTGACCGCCATATGAAACTAATCAGAATTAAATATAAATACATGTAATACATCCCACGTTAAAACTCCACGAAGCCCTGGGTTTTGCATGGTGTACATACCTATGTTGCTTCTTTCTTATACACCTATAGTGTTCATCTCTCTGGAATTAATTCCAGGTTCTGGCTATGTTCTTGAAATCTGTTCATGCAATAAATATCTTTATCAGCTATTACTTTGTCTTTATATTACAGATCAACATTTCTTGGACTGTCGGCATGGATTGTTGCTCATAATATCAACCACTGGATTTCCTGGTCCAGACTTGGTAATTTTAAGGCCACAGTCATATAGCTGGAATATTGCCGAGTGCATCATTAAACAACACATACACCTATTACTAAGGCTGTGTTCATCATAAGTAGGCGTGTGAACCAAAGTGATGGGGGTCTTAGACGTTAACCATTTACAACCTTACAAACTAGTCCAGGAAGTTGGTCAAGGGGAGGGGGGGGGGGGTTACTGGAGCAGGAGCTCAATACTGTGAATATGGTAGCTTGAACATTGCAAACAAACTGACACCTCACAATTCAACACTTCACTAAACGGTAGTGGGCACAGGTGGCCCAGTTGTCTAAGGCACTGCAACTGGCAATGCAGAGTTGCGTCCCTTGGGCACGCCAGAAACCTATGATTGTGGGTTCAAATCCTGGTTCACCCCAGTTATGTTTCTAGGTTTGTCAGCACTATACCCATGCTCTTGGGTTTCCATGAAGTGGTAAACGTCTGAGACCTGCATCACTTTGGGCTTCCTACCACATCAAGCTGACACGCTGTGATATAACTGGCATACTGTTCAAAGCAGCATTAAACCCAACTCACTCACTCTCAAAGCAAATCACCTGTTTGACAAGAAAACTCTTAAGATATGTACAGAGCATTTGTTGTAGCTTCTGTGGTGAACTAACAGTTTACTGCAAGGTTAAAACTGGTAATGGCTGCACAAACAGCACCTCGTGGTATACCTTTGGATATCAATGCAAACATAGTGCAACAACACTCATACACGATCATCTTTTATTTCCTATTCTTGAAATACAGTTCAAACTTCTCATTATCTGGGCTTCGATCCACAAAGTATTTGTAGGTCTACGACCATTATAACGTGACAATGCATCATAGACTTACAACTGTCTGAGAGCTACAAACACTCAAGGCCTGTACAGCAATTCTAGTATATTGACAGAATACATACAAAAACAGCTTCAACTATATAAAAGACTAGTGTATCTCCTTGATATTCTGCATTGGTATAACTAATGACTAATGAGAAGCATATTGCACAGACAGACAGTCTTTCAAAGAGATACAAATTGATACAAGTCCATGACCAGCAGATCCTTGTGTGACAAAGAGAGGCAACTCTGCACAGCAAATTAGATCACAAAGTCAGTCATGCATAAAATAGGGCTTTGCAAACTTTTTTCTGCAGTCATATGTGGGACTGACAGTTTTCAAACATTAACCAACAGCCTAAAGTGACCCAATTGACTGATTTCAAGCTCAAGTCACAGTCTATTGTAATATACAACAAAAGTTCCTGTGACATTGAATAAGATTTAACGCAAAGTTATGTTTTTTACCAAATCTGAGACAATTTCTTTTTGCAACAGATAAAAGACTCCTGTAAGTGTTTAAATGGTTTAATTTGCCATACTGACTTCAGAAAATGCGTGATTTCATAAAAAACATGAACATGCCAAAATGTCAATTTACAAATCAATAGCGTGTGTGTCCACCTCTGGTTCGATGCAAGCAACACATCTTCTTCTCATGGAATGGACCAGGCGTCGCACAAAGTCCTGCGGGATATCTGTCCATATCTGCTGGAGAATGTTTCGAAGTTCCTGTAGTGTCTGTGGAACACGTGGTTGACGTCGAAGGTGCCGATCCATCTCATCCAACATGTGCTCGATTGGTGAGAGATCAGGGGAGCCAGCCGGCCAGGGGGTGTTTTGTTGAAGAGAATCCTGAACAAGTCACGCAATATGAGGCCTGGCGACGCAAAAACGGTAGAACAACAGGGCCTATCTCGTTGCGGTAGCGCTGTCCATTGAGATTTCCCTCTACCACTATCAAACGGGGCCTGTCTTGCTGTAATCCCACCCATACCATAAAGCTGCCGCCCCCGAACCGATCTTCTTCCATGACACAATGATTGACATAACACTCACCTCGATGTCGGTACACTCGAATCCGTCCATCGCTGTGGCTGAGGTGAAAACGAGACTCGTCAGTGATTAGAACTTGTCCCCACTGCATGGCCGTCCAGCGTAGACGCTGTCTGCACCACTGTAGAAGTCCTTGACGGTGGTTTCCTGTCAAAATGGGACGTCTGGCGGGTCTTCTGGCGACAATTCCTGCACATCTGAGGCGGCGACGTACGGTTTGTGAAGATATTCGTCGAAGGCCAGGGATGCTTCTTGTAGTCACTGATGCTGGCTGGAACCAATTGGTGTTTCTGTGGACGTTAAATTGTCTTGCAACATCACGTTGACTCGATCCTGCTTCAAGCATACCAATGGCTCGCAGACGCTCGTTTTCGGACAGGCGTGGCATTTCATAATGTTGTATAATTGCGTAACTTTGTTGTTTTTCTGAGTGGATGTTGTCAGCACAATGCTAAACAATGCATATGGAATCCTGTTAAAGCACACATTTTTATACCTATTCTTGGGTAGTGAAATGCATGGGGCTTGCATAAAAGTCAACTTTTGCATGGAATGCATGCTTTTCTGTAGCAGTTGCGTTTTTGTGACTTGATTCCATACATGTACTACAATATTGAAAACCAAACTTTACTTGTTTGAAAAATACACTAAAATATTGGTGTCACAGGAACTTTTGTTGTTGAGTATATATATGTGACCCACAGGGATTCTGGGTAAAAATAGAGGTCTCCAGCAATAATGCTCATGATGTCAATCAATATTTCGTCTGGTCTTGGCTCGATTATTTACAGGCCGCCATCATACAGCTGCAATATTGCTCACTGCGGGATTATACAATCAATAAATCAATCTAATAATATCTGTCATGACCTGCTCAGTTGACGTTTCGCTCATGGCTGCATCACTCATCATCAGCTCAATGAGATGAAAATGCTATTTGACAAGAAAAGACAAATATCCTCTAGGCTAAAAGAAATAATAGTCTTGGTTATCAGGAACCGCCCGCATCATCAGAAAATCTGCCGCACGTTTTGTTTTCATTTCCATTTTTTTTTAAAATTTAAAATCCTAATACTTAAAAACAATGCGATCAATATAGCATGCAGTTACTTCCCTTTACATGCACAGGGACAAGTTCCTTCCCAGCGGCTGACACCTTCGTTACACTCTCGGTATAGAGAGCCCTGCTAACGGGATATCACTGTGAGGAGCTTGGCACAGGGAGACCCTTTCCCAGACTGATGGTATACAACTGTTTATTTGGTTACACACTAGTTTTAACAAAACAAAAAATAACACTGCCTGCCCGCACTTTTTTTTCAAAAGTCACTGCCTAAGAACCCATTCTTTTATTTTCTTAAGCCCTATGTATTTTCTTTCCGATGTATCACAGAGATGTAGATATGCCCTTGGAGTGTTCCAATAACAATACTCTTGATCCATCTTTGAACCCAACGAATGTCATTTCCCCACGAGCTACATTGCCCCTTCATTTTGAAATTGATAAAACACTTTTCAGTTTCTGAATTCCCAAGATTATTTCACCCGTTGGGCATGTCTCTGTGTTCCTTTTCCATGTGTTTGTTAAGTTTACTCTTGTGAAAGTATATTCATCCCTGGCTCATACAACAAACATATTTGCTAAAGGATTTTGAAGTGGCCCCTTCAGGGACCGGGGTCCAGTTCAACAAAGCAATCAGAGCTTAGGACTGCCCTAAGTACATGCTGCAGTATAGGACTTACGACATCGTAGCTACGATCGTTTGTGAAACGGTTTTTAACCATGCCATTAAAGTTGTAACTGCCATTTACACTGTAGTACACGGAATGTCAAACACAATGTACTAGGAGCAGGCAATCAAGTGCTTTATAACTCCTAGCATTGTGGTGTGATGGCATTCAACCATCAGGCCCCTAGAAGCATTTCTCAGACCAGGGGAGATGGCTGGGCCAAACCGTATATTTTTGTAGCTCAGTAGGGGTGCAGCGAACGGTCTTGCCATCTTTCATCCATACCATAAGTCACCAGTCAAAAATCAAAACTAACAAGTATGTTATCGAAACACATGCATATAAATTTATATTTAATAATTCTAAATTCACTTTCGCAGCAAATACTCTGCATGTGTGTAGATGTTGGCCTAATGGTGGAGGGGTGGAGAAACATTCTACTTTGTGGATACAAAAATTTTCGGTGGGACAAAGTAGGACCTGCCTTACGGGCCTGACCATGTCTAAAGAAAACCTAAATGAAAAAACTGAATGTCATGTAACCTTTCCCACAGATTTTTCAAGTATATCAACATTGCTATGATCCCTGGAGTTGTTTCCCCTTGTTGGGTGGGATTGGTGTTGGTTGTCTGCTCCATCATGATGACCAGATGCTGCTGTCACAGAGTCTTCATCACCATCGGTCGGGATAGTTTCCTGTACCCTCTCTGAAGCAGACATGGGGCTTCTGTTTGCATCAGACATTCCTTCTACAGTCTTGTCATCTTCATTTGGGGCATATTCCAGATCTGGTCAAAATAAATATGGCACTGAGGTGAGGTGAGGTGAGGTGAGGTGAGGTGAGGTGGAATTAACGTCCTGTTCAAAAATATTTCATTTGTATAGCAATGTGTATGCACATGTTTGTGTCGCTGCTTGTAGTCCGAAGATATGTCAGTTTTATAGTTTAACATCCCACTCAGATACAGAACACTGACTCTGAGGCAACCTGTCTTTGTTCTGTTCCTTTAATTCTAAGTGCCATCCAGGGTAACAACAAGTACCATCTTATACTGTAAATCTTGAAATTAATGCGAATGTGAATTAAATGCAAAATAAGCGAGTCGTTTTTGCTTGCATTAACTAAACTTTGGATATATGTCTCCATACTGACTATCAATAGTAGAAACACCAACTTGGATATAAACACAAACAACTACATATTCCACATTACAGTTCATTAAGAAGTAATTGTAACAAGTATATAACTATGTCATTCAAAGAATAGAATAGGCATCCGGTGAGTTATCACTGCTGGGGTCAAGAGTTCTACCCACTCGTGTCAAACTAGGCATCACTGACCACTCCAGCAGTCCAGACAGACGCCACCCACAGACAGCACAAGTACGACACGACCCAACGCGCACTGATAGACTTTATCACACTTATCCTCAGATCTACAGCCTTTGTCTTGTCGTCTGCCTTCAAGTTTGTTGACACCTTCTCCCCATATGTTAATACCCTTGTTTTTCCTTATGCCAGTCAACAGGATAAACATATAAACCATGTGTCGTTTTTAGGAAAACAACCTATAACACAGCATTCTTCCAAATTCCCAAAAATAAAAAATAAGCAACCCTAAATTCCCCCAGGTTGTCCTCCCTTTTCGGACATACGCTCCTCGGTAAAACCACTAATAGGCCTGGCGGGCCCGTGTGCGAAATACACATAAAGTCGGAAAGCGCATGTAAAAACACCAACTGTCTCTCTCTTAGGAAAACATTGTTTATTGTCTTCAGGGAAGTGCTCTACTTCCATCAACTTGTCTAGTTACCTGCCGGTTTATATTTCACCCTATCCAGGTAAAGTCCATTGGGGGAGATTCTTGGCATGGCGGAGTAAGACATATGATCTCTGTCCAATGGGTATTCTAAAACATGGCGCAGATCATCCAGGTGAAGTTTCCCCCTGGCCACCGCCACCATTGAAGAGACCATGTGTCGAACCTGCAAACAACACCCTCTTGTCAATCCTCATCACAAAAAGAGTAATTGTAACCAAAACTTACAATATTATACATGTGAATAGATTAACATACTGAATAAATCACAAATATCCCCGTTCATGAATGGATTAACTGTTGTTTTTTATGTTAGTCAATATTAGGGTTGGGAATTGGACCACAACTTGTATTGCGATATACTGCAATATTTCAAAAACATATTGCAATATTATTGCAATATATTGGGAAATAATTTCTACCAAGAGAAAAGCTTTTTTTCATATCCCTTTGACAAATATTAATATGAAAGCTGCAATGTTAACAATTTGGTCAAAATTATGAACCAATTTTAATAAATTGTACTATTATTTTTATCTACAATCAAATAAAGAGTATGAAGCATTTGTTTTGTCTTTGTTTTGATTTAATAAGGTAAGACTATACATCATGGCATATACATGTCAGTCACAGTCTCCAACCTTTTTCAATCACATTTGAATAATGTTAACTCTCTGAAACAGTTTGAAAAACAATGAAACATTAACATTAACATTAACATAAATATGATAAGAATTATACATCATGACAAATTCCATGTCAGTCATTGTCTCTCATCAAACATTGTGAAAAAAATTACACTCAATGTCAAAAGATTTTCCCTTTTTGTTCGGCACGATGTCAAAGGCGTCCGCCATGTTGGATAAACAATCAAGGGAAGTAACTCTAGTTCCAAGTTGTCAGCAACGTTCGTTCCCGATGATTTCCGATTGTAAAATACATATTTTTATCGGGTGGTGTTTGAATAATGAGGGAAAAACCGATACGCCAAAAACGTATCGCGATACGTATCATGATGAATTTGTATTGCAATATACCGGTATACCGATAAAACCGCACATCCCTAGTAAATATACCACTGTTACTTCCCCATAATTTCTACCATGTTGCCATGGCAGTAGATCACTTTGCTAGCCTTTGGTGCAGACTTCACAGGACTAAATCCAATTGGCAATAGAACTTTACCGTGAAATAATTCTGTCATCAAGGTAAATGAAATGTGGAAAGAAAGTAGTTCTGTCATTGCTAAGTGGTGTTTACCTGACAGTTCACTTAGTTAATGGGGGGCACGGGATGGCCCAGTCATCTAAGGCACCTCGATTAGCTGTGCAGAATTGCGTCCCTTAGGCATGCCAGAAACCTATGATTGTGGGTTCGAATCCTGGTTCGCCCCGATTATGTTTCTAGGTTTGTCAGCACCATAACCGTGCTCGTGGGTTTCACTGAAGTGGTAAACGTCTGACACCTGCATCACTTTGGGCTTTCCTCCCACATTAAGATGACATGCTGCGATATAACTCGAATACTGTTAAAAGCGGCTTTAAACCCAACTCACTCACACTTAGTTCATGCCCGGCCAAAGACAGTTAAAACCAGTAACTATATGGTAATTGTCTTCTGTTTCTTAGTTTGTTTGTTTGTTTGTTGTTTAACGCTGCACTCAGCAATATTCCAGCTATATGACGTTGGTCTGTAAATAATCGAGTCTGGACCAGACAATCCAGTGATTGATTTCATGAACATCGATCCACGCAATTGGGATATGATGACATTCATCAGCAAAGCCAGCGAGCCTGACCACCCGATCCCGTTAATCGCCTTTTACGACAAGCATAGTCGCCTTTTACGGCAAGAATTGGTTGCTGAAGACCTATTCTAACCCTTCTATTCATCATGGGTCCAAAGACAAATGACTAAAAGTTCAATTAATGATAATGATAAATGTTTTAATTTAATTTTTTTAATCATTTGAGTGGATAGCGGAAACAAAAGTACATTTTCTTATTTGTCACTGTATAGCCAGTTGTGTGAAATCAACAAATAAAATGGTGTTTTCATCAAATTGAAAGTTAAAGGGTAAAAGTTGTTATTACCGACATCCATCAACGAATTTGATCTGAAGGAAACAAACTGCTCAAAAATTTCATTTTATTCCACACTTGTTAAATTTTAGGTCGACATAACAAAAATATTTTTAAAAATATATATAAAAATCAGTGTTCTACATCCTTCATCTGCTCACCTGATGGTAGAGGAAGGACTTAGCTTGAACGTGGACATCCCAGAAGTGACATTTTTCCCCTCCGAGATGCTGACATACACCTCGGTCGGCCTGACCTCCTCTCACCCCTATAACTACATTCTTCACAGGGTTCTTAAACTGTGTCCCTTTCAGAGTTGTGAAGGCGGAGAAGTTGTGAGTTCCGGCAAGGAGTTCTGCGGACTTCAGAAACAGACCCACATCAAACGGAGACCTGGAGGGAAACAGGATCAACTATTGGATGATTATAAAAGAGATGGGGTCGGTGCTGCAATCCAATTGGTTGAAAAATGTCAAATGGGATTCGAGGCTCAGAAAACATTTGGCCCTGTCATTGAGTATGAGTTCTAAGGGTTACTATGGCAACATCATAATTGAGTGAGTGAGTTGGGTTTAATGCCACTTTTAACAGTATTCCAGTTATATCATGGCGTGTCAGCCTAATGTGGGACGAAAGCCCGAAGTGATGCAGGTCTCAGACCTTTACCACTTCGGTGAAACCCACGAGTACAGGTATGGTGCTGACAAACCTCCAAACATAATCGGGCTGAACCAGGATTCGAACCCACAATCATAGGTTTCTGGCGTGCCCAAGGGCTGGAACTCTGCACAGCGAATCCTTGGCGCCTTAGACGACTGGGCCACCCATGCCCCCAGGCATCATCATAAAGTAGATTTTGAGTTTTATTAATATTTATCGATAGGACATAGATAGCGGGACTATTGCTGCCTGCAGGATTAAACAACACTTGTTAAACAACACAAAGTAGTATGAAAGAAGTATGAGAGAAACTGCGCAAATGGAGAAAACTGAGAAACGAACGTGTAACTAAGAACCTGCACAAAATGGGCATGTCACCAAAGGAAATACACAATGATATGAAAAAAATGCTTGGGAATGACTGCTCTTCATATTCAACTAATAAAAAATGGACTGTTGAATTTAAAACAGGTGTGTGTCTGTGTTTGTTATTTACCCTCACAATCAGAGATTTTAACGATGGCACACAAACACTAAGTCACCGAGCCTATCCACCTAATCCATTTGGTTGCCTCTAATGAACAGCATAGGTTGCTGGGGAATGAATATACGCAAGGCAGAAGTAGCATGAAAGATGACTCCAAGTCTGGTCATCCTGAAAATAACACGCAAGATGTGTACCTAGAATATAGACACCAGATCAGAAGCTGACACAACTGTGTTTCGAGCTATTGGCGGCGGTCTGTAAGTAATCGAGTCTGGACCAGACAATCATGTGATTGATAACATGAGCATCGATCCACGTAATTGGGATCGATGACATGCATCAACCAAGTCAGTGAGCCTGACCATCCGATCCCGTTAGTCGCCTCATATGACAAGCATTGTCGCCTTTTACAGTAAGCATGGGTTGCTGAAGACCTATTCAAACCTGGATCTTCACGGGTAATTGTCTTCTACAGTCATTTGGGGTCCAATTTGAAGACTGCTAAAGGGTTGGGACAGCAAGTGTATTAAAAAATGATATGTGAACAATTTTGATTCTTAACAATCTCTATGTAAGGACACAAACTTTTCGATTAACCCTCTTATAATAACCTCATACAATTGGAAAGCAGAAAAGCAGTTCATCTTGAATGACTTGACTTGAACTTGCTGGGACTGCCAAATGGATCATCCCTAGTACCTCCACAAGGGGGCATGTGGGTGAGTGAGTATGGTTTTACGCCGCTTTTAGCAATATTCCAGCAATATCACGGCGGGGACACCAGAAATGGGCTTCACACATTGCACCCATGTCGGAAATCAAACCCGGGTCTTCGGCGTGACGAGCAAACACTTTAACCACTAGGCTACCTGACCCCAGGGGTCATGTGAGACAGAACTCCAACAAAACAAAACTTTGGGACCTGGGGGTTCAGTAATATCATTTGAAGTCAGAAAACTTCAGTTTTCAATTATCACAGTCATCACGACTAATCATCACCAAAACTGAGTGAGTGAGTATGGTTTGATGCTGTGTTTAGCCATATTCCATCAATATCATGGTGGGGGACACCAGAAATGGGCATTGTACCCATGTGGGGAATCAAACGCGAGCTCTCAGTGTGATCAGCAAACACTTCAACCACAGGGCTACCCCACCGCCCCCATCTTCAAAAGCAACTCACCGAACAACGCTGATTCTGTTTCTCTCAACCACCGACAAGGCCTGCTGGAATCCACAGTCTTCAGGAATGACAGCGAGTCGATACAAGTAATTGCGACCAGCAGCGTATCGAGACACAAAGTTGTCATTAACTTGCTGAATTCTTAATATCCTGTAAACAAACAACATATAGTTGAACATGCATAGAAACAAATGCTTGTTGGAGAAAGTTTCATAGATCTATATTCAAAATGATTTCTCGTAAGATCAAGTCTTCTGTAGAAGTTTACTATGAATCAGAAAATGTACTGTTACAAATTAACTGTTAGCCATTGAAGATTTTTTTCCTGAGTATCCAGACAGACGTTTGTTTGTTTGTTATTCCCGCCATATTACGGAGGCCTCTTTATGAACCAAGTCAGAGAGCCTGACCACCCAATCCTGCCAGTCACTTCTTACAGCAAGTATTGGTTGCTGAAGACCATTTCTAACCCGGATCTTCATGGAAACAAAAGGTGAGCAGGGCTCACTTAGACCCCCGACTTCAACTCCAACATATTTCAAAGTCCAAAAAATGAAAAAAAGCAATATTTCCTCAGAAAATCCACTAATCAAAATCCAACTTTCCACTGCACCTCTCCTATTGGTATAGAAATTGTAACCCTAATTGGAAAGAATCCATGAAGTAGTTTTCTAGTTATAGGTCTCACAAATGTTTAAGTAAAAAAATCCTAAGTAAAAAATGCAAAAAAAGCTGTCGTTTTTCAGAAAATCCAAATACTGAAATTAAACAACGCACTGCACCTCTCCTATAGGTATATAAGGTGTTCACCAAGTTTGAAAGAATCTATGTAGTAGTTTTCAAGTAAAAGGTCACAAAAAATATGTCTTTGGAAGGATGGATGGAAGGACTGAGAGAAGGACGGACGGAAGAATGGAATTCCCCCTTTTAAGTTGAGGGAATAATAAACAAACAAATGTCAATATCCACAGAGTGGGTGACAGTATGAAAGATCTCAGGATCCGTATCAAAAGTTGAGTGGCATAGTTTCAGGCTGAGATAAAAAGATGTCCAAGGTATCCAATTAACACCAACATATATAATGTTACTTGGCGCCTCCACCAAGAAACAACAGCTTGCCAAGTACTGAAAAAACAACAGAAGGACTGTACTTGATGTCTTCTTTTGCTTTGTGGAACTGAACATTGAGGATGAACTTGAGGCGGTCAAGGTCACTCTGCTCTTTGAGGCGGCTCCTGTAAGGACAAGGCAACGGATCATCCAACATGTTCAGTTCATTTATCATTATATCAACATGTTCGGTTCATATATCAGTATATCAACAGGTTCGGTTCATATATCTGTATATCAACATGTTTAGTTCATATATCGGTATATCAACATGTTTGGTTCATATATCGATATATCAAACATGTTCAGTTCATATATCAGTATATCAACATGTTCGGTTCATATATCAGTATATCAACATGTTAGGTTCATATATCGGTATATCAAACATGTTCAGTTCATTTATCATTATATCAACATGTTCGGTTCATATATCAGTATATCAACATGTTCGTTTCATATATCTGTATCTCAACATGTTCAGTTCATATATCGGTTTATCAACATGTTTGGTTCATATATCGATATATCAAACATGTTCAGTTCATATATCAGTATATCAACATGTTCGGTTCATATATCAGTATATCAACATATTCGTTTAATATATCCGTATACCAACATGTTAGGTTCATATATCAGTATATCACCATGTTCAGTTCATACATCAATATATCAACACATTAGGTTCATATATTGGTATATCACCATGTTCAGGTCATATATCAGTATACCAACATGCTAGGTTCATATATAAAAAAAAAAACATGTTCGGTTCATACATCCGTAAATCAAACATGTTCAATTCATATATCAGTATATCAAACATGTTCAGTTCTTATATCAGTATATCAAACATGTTCAGTTCATATATCAGAAAATCAACATGTTAGGTTCATATAACAGTATATCAATCATGTTCGGATCATATATCAGTATATCAAACATATTCCAGCAAATTCACGGCAGGGCACACCAGAATTTGGCACATTGTACCCATGTCAGGAATCGAACCCGGGTCTTCGGAGTGAAGAGCGAACGCATTATCCACTAGGCTACCCGACTGCCCCTCTACACAACTGAGCGTAAGAGGCGAAATCCATCAACCAAGTCAGTGAGGCAGACCACTCAATCCACCCACCTTTCTTACAGACACCTACATGTTAACTGTGCCCTCGACCATGTCATTTGAGGCCATCACAGTATTATGTCCACACACCCCTTTGTTAACATCCTGAATCTGCTTATGTTGTGCATGCTCAAAGGAGGTGAGGTGAAATGGGGTTTAACGTCGCGTACAAGATTATTGCACTTATATAGCGATGTGCATGCATGTGTGTGAGTGTGTGGCTGCTTGTCCTAGTCCGGACTGGTGGCGATTTATAGTTCTAGCTCACTGAGATACCATGCCGCAGTTTAACATGAATACCCCACTCAGACACAGTATACTGACTCCGAGCCGACCAGTCCTTGTTTTAGCCCCTTGACGCTGAGCACCAGGCAGGGTAACAACAAGTACCATCTTTTAACGTCTTTTGGTATGACGCGGCCGGGGATCAAACCCGGGAAATTCCGCTCTCCGGGCGGACGCTCTACCACTACACCAGGGAGGCGATCACATGCTCAAATGAGGCAGACATCAATCCTAAATGTTGAACAACTTACTCGTGATTGAAATCAAAATGCACAGCATTACAAAAGGCATGGACCTTCTTGTCAGTCCGGCTTGAGAGGCACAGGTTGGACTCCCATGTTGGCAATAGTTTCTTCAAATGTCTCTAAAATAGTTAATATTTTATAAGATTATGCAAGTCATGACATGTTGCTGTATTAAAGCAATGTTAAACTGGTAGGTAAAACAAAGTCAAGATTCATTATGTTTTCCTTGAAAAAAGCTTAACTAAAAAAGGCTAAAGACGTCATCAATCAACGTTTCTTACAATTATAATGTTCTGACAATACACTGTATATGCTGATTGAAAGAAACAAGAGAACAGACATCAAGGGAATAATTTGTTTGATTTGTTTGTTTGTTTAACGCCACACTTAGCAATATTCCAGCTATATGACGGCGGTCTGTAAATAATCGAGACTGGACCAGACAATCCAGTGATTGACAACATGAGCATCGATCCACACAATTGGGACCGATTACATGCATCAACCAAGTCAGAGAGCCTGACCACCCGATCACGTTAGTCGCCTCTTACGACAAGCAAAGTTGCCTTTTGCGGCAAGCATGGGTTGCTGAAGGCTTATTTTACCCCGGACCTTCACGGGTCTTTGTTTGACCGTTCCCTGAGTGAATGAGTGAGTGAGTTGGGTTTGAATCTTTGGTGCAAATCCACCACCAGTTGATCCTTTCACCAGTAAAGGACACAACCCCAAACACAAAATGTGGCCCATTCATCTGTACTTGGCCACACAAAAGATGACAAGACATTTAGCAGTGAAGTGAAACACCAGATTACAGCCTTGATTTTTAGCATTCATCCCCATGAAAAACAGTGAAGTTCTTGAGCCTATTTATATAACAAACAGTCATTGCACAGTGGTGACAGTTGTTGCATGGTTGCAGGGCAGGAGTGGCATGATCCTGTGATTATGGGTTCAAATCCTGGATTCAACCTGACCATGATTCAAGTCATCTACCCAAGGCAAGGGAGTCAACTGCCTGTAATAGTCCAGCTTCCACTCTTACTGAAATAGGCTGGAATTTCTGGGCTCGCTGACATGGTTGATGCATGTCATCGTATCCTAATTGCGTGGATCGATGCACATGTAAATCACTGGATTGTCTGGTCCCCACTTATTATTTACAGACTGCCATCACATAGGCGCTTGAATATTGCTGAGTGCGACAGTAAACAACAACTAAACAAACAAATCATATCACCACGAGACCTGGGCCCACTCGCACAAAGCGATCTTAGTGCTAAGACAATTGTAAGCCTATGTTAAAGTATTGGAGTTACGATCATCTTAGCGCTAAGATCGCTTTGTGCAAGTGAGCCCTTTTCAGGGTGAAGATTCCCAATACATATGCAACATACCTCTATCGTTCCTTGAATTGTCTTTACATCCTGTTTAACAACTCGACTGACGCGCTGGACTTGTATCCCGCTGGAGGAAACATCTCAAATTTATATTTAATCACAATTCATAAAAGTTTCTTTGAAAAAGGTAAATACAAATAAATACAATGAACATGTTTTTAATTGGTTTACAGATCAACCTAACCTAAAAAGATGATATGTGAAAAAGACAAAACTATGCAAAATATTCAATGATTGAAAAAAACATTTTCAGTAATCTTCAGTCTCAAGCTTACTAGGGGTGGTCGGGTAGCCTAGTGGTTAAAGCGTTCGCTCGTCACGCTGAAGACCCTGGTTCAATTCCTGACATGGGAACAATGTCTGAAGCCAATTTCTGGTGTCCCTGTCGTGATATTGCAGGAATATTGCTAAAAGAGGTGTAAAACCATACTCCCTCACTCACTCAAGCTTACTAAATTCAAAACGAAAGGGAGGTTACTCTCATTCTTCACTTTGCAAATCCAAGAAGGACCGGCATAACAAATCAAGTGCACATGGTGCAACATTTACATAACTTTCGAAACAACGGAACAAAAATCTTGGAGGTCTATACCCAGGTGAATAGGACTGTCATAGGAGAGTGCTGTTAAAATAAATGTTACAAAAATGAGAGGTATTTTGGTATTGTGTCAATATTGACTTTTCATCAATATCTATTTAATGACAATGGATATGTAGTCAATAGCTCAAAATCTCAACAACAGCTACTTCATGAAAGTTGCTTTCACCACAGACATTTGTTTGTTTGTTGATTAACGCCGCACTCAGCAATATTCCAGCTATATGACAGCAGTCTGTAAATTAATCGAGTCTGAACCAGACAATCCAGTTATTGACATCATGAGCATCGATCCACGCAATTGGTGGTGAGGTGAAATGGGGTTTAACGTCGCGGCCAAGATTATTGCACTTATATAGCAACGTGCATGTACGTGTGTGTGTTTGTGTGGCTGCTTGTACTAGTCCGGACTGATGCAGATTTATAGTGCTAGCTCACTGAGATACCATGCCGCAGTTTAACATGAATACCCCACTCAGACACAGTATACTGACTCCGAGCCGACCAGTCCTTGTTTTAGCCTTAATGCCGAGCGCCAGACAGGGTAACAACAAGTACCATCTTTTAGCGTCTTTTGGTATGACGCGGTCGGGGATCGAACCCCGGACCTTCCGCTCTCTGAGCGGACGCTCTACCACTAGACCACGGAGGCAGTCCAACGCAAATGGGATACGATGACATGCATCAACCAAGTCAGCAAGCCCGACCACCCGATCCCGTTAGTCGCCTCTTACGACAAGCATTGTCGCTGTTAACAGCAAGCATGGGTTGCTGAAGACCTATTCTATCACGGATTTTCCCGGGTCAGCACCAACATTTAAATATATTTGCCTAAATACGGAGGAATAATATGTGAAGAAAATATGATTTCAAAAGGAGAATCATACATGCCAAAGTTCAGCTTTTTAGTCTGGCACTTTACACAAAATACATTTTGAAAAAATTTAAGTGCATTACAGCACATTTTGGGCAGAAATTGCTCAGTAGTGGCAATAAATAGTTTTCAATATGGCTGAGTTATTATTTTTGGGAACAAGCATGGGAAATTTCAGCTTCATTGGAAAAGTGGTTTCTGAGATGTTTACAACAGATGGCTCATGATTTCTTTGTACTTTCCAATATGGCACAGGCAGCCATATTTGATTTCTGATCAAGATGCCTTGAACAAACTTGGTACTTCGTAAGGTGACCATCTCACCCACCAAGTTTGGGGCCTCTGGCCCTTAAGCTTTTGAGGTGAAGATTTTTTAATTTTCCTTGCTTAAAATCAGAGATGTCTTTCTATACGAAACATCAAAGTTTGATGCATTGAACAAACAGTAATCCTTAAAAATTATCAAAAATCCACATAATTTCAGCTTAATCCTTCAAGCCATTTTGAAGAAAAAAAATCAAAATTAAAAAAAAATATGGATGACAAAGATGACAGCACCGATGATGACGGAAGATTTGTCTGACCACCTAATCCTGTTATTCGCCTCTGACAACAAGCATATGTGTTGCTCATGGGATATTTTTGAGTAACTGCATAGTCCATCACATGTAATAGAACTAGGATCTATAAAAGACCTGGTGGTACTCTATATTTCGATTTTGTTTTGAAGCTGGCCATTATTGGAGCAAATACTGTAATTAAGTATGTATGGGCCAAACAAACCAGTGATTGATAGCATGAGCAACCATCCGAAGTATATTATACCAACTGATGTATTACGTAAATTATTGATGTGATTGTGAAAAATATTCAGCTATCAAATTAAAAATACACAAAAATAAAGTTGGTCCATGTTTGATATGAAAAAACAAATCCTGTCATGATCTGATAATTAATTGGTTTCATCGGATTATTTTATAGGCTCTGGTTTCATGATATAAGGTAACATATTACATAATATGTTAATTACATATCCACTGACCTATACTGCGTTCCAAGATACTGAATAAACATAAGATATCTTCCCATATTTAACCCGATTCATTTTCTAACACTTCTGTCATGATTGAGAAACTATTTTTATCAATCGCTTCCGAAAACACGTGCAGACACCAACAGAAATATGAGAGGAAGTTTATACTTTTGAGACATGCGCACTCATTACCGGATGTTCAAAATGGAGTCGGCTTCGTGACAGCGAGGCATTGCAACGTGGCCGGATGATTAAAACACAGATAATTGCGTGGTATTTTTCGATTTACAACATTTGTGTATAATTCCAGGATCATTGACATCAAGGTTACCCATCTGACGTAAACGTAAGTCATTTGGATTTCATTTCATCGTCAAGAAAACCTGTTTTCCGATGTAACCGAGGACGAGAGAATGTGTAAAATGGCGGATATGTGTGCGATAGACTGAACGAAATGACAGTTGTTGTCTAATGTGTTATTGTTGGTGAAGATCTCATGGTAGGAACTTACTGCTATAGATTTTTTAAAGTGTGTTTAAGTTATCAATATTGTTGTTTATATCTTTATTCAAAGGTTTTTGTGCCAGTAAAGGCTGTATATTATTAACGACTTTCGATGTATGCTGATCATGCACCATTGCATGATGAAGCTAATTGTTGTGTGACACTGTGCCAGATATCAAGAGATAAACCCAACTGCGTAGTAGGTCCCCATTTTTTTGTGTGCAGTAAGATAGGCAATGTCTTCACTCATCTAGAGAGTCGCTGATTTGTAAGGTAAGGTGTAAATGTGGTAGTATCAACACTCCTTTAGACCGAGACTAGTAACAATTTATAACGACTAGTTGTTTTATTTCCATATCTAGGTATTTTACGTTACCACTAGTTCAACATGAGCAGCAGAAAAGTTGCATATGACCAATCAATGGTGTCTACCCCTTTACAATCGTGAAGGTTAAGCACCTGTTTCCGATCGACCAGCAATTTCCAATCTTTATGCCATGGTTACTTGTAGGTTAGGGTTGGCTTTCCCACTTCTTTCGACAAATTGATCCAATGTAATCCAAAGTAAATCAGATTTTTGTAATTGAGTTTCAATGTTTGTGGAAAAAAGTGGCTCATGCAGTAAGGGTGATTGCCAGGAAATTGAACACTAATCATTTGTCTACCTCCCATGACAAATGTGTTGGCTAATTAACTGATTAGTCAAACCAAACTTTCACAACACGAGTTTGATCCTCTTACTCACACAGCACTAAATGGAATCAGATGTACGCCCAGTAAAGTGCAGAACTCCGTCATTTTTGTAAGCTCTATTTAACATAGAATGTACAAAATGGAAACTTTTTAAGTACTTCAAATGGTATTGTTGCCACCATGAAACCTTTGAATGAAATATTGTTTTGAGGTTGATGACTATATATCCCCTAAAATCACTGAACAAAAAGGCAGAATGATTGCTGGAAATACAGTCAGTTTGGTCAGTAAGGTGGCTGCTCATTATTTGTTTCTGATGTAATTTGTGAAACTGGCCATTCAGGGATAACCATTATAAAATATCTAAATCAAAGTGTACTATAGGGCTGTTATGATTCACTCGCGGATTCGGTGAATTGAACCGTATCCATTCATGAATTCAATTTGTTATTGATGGTCACTAGAATCGAATATTTATGAATATGCAGGCATGTGCATTTACATATCCTGACCCTTAAATATCCATAAGAATATTTTACATGCATAGATTTCTTCAAAGACAACACTCTTTTATATTTAATTTTACAGTATTGTACATGTTGTAGTCACTGGTTATTGTCGCAGTTGAGCAGATACTAGTACCTGGAGAACTATAAATTGTCATTAGTCCGGACTAGTACAAGGAGACATACACACGTGCATGTACGTCACTTAGTAAGTGCAATAATCTTGGACGCGACGTTAAACCCAATTTCACCTCACATCAAAAATAGTGCAGAACATGACCACATGATTACTTTTGTATATGTACTTCTTTCAGTTTGTGAGAACAAGATGTCAGCCATCATTGAAGAGCCCCAAACACAATCAAAGCAAAATGTTATAGCAAGAGCTTTCCGACATTATTGTGAGGTGAGATATATTTACAGATTGCAATATTACAAATTGCAATGCAGATCTGCCAAAATGTATGTTTTTATTTTGATCTTGTACATGTTGTAATGATATGGTGTTAACCATGCCATGTTCTGGTTCTTCTTATCTCATCTGGATCCACGTGAGTTCATTTCCTAATTTTGTGCCACATACAACGTCTATGGTAATGTATTTACTGGAATCTCCAGCATCAACTGTCTTTGTTATGACTTGTTTTAGGCTATAGAGAGACAGAGAGAGAGAGAGCTTTATTTCAGTAAAGGGTCCACTGGCCCATTATACAATAGGCAATATTTTGGGGTGACCAATTATCTTTGGCCAATCTGTATATGATAAGAGCACACGCAAGTATCGTGATACCAATCAGATCATGAGCAAGGTGTATGTATACACAGTTGGTGTATCATCCCAGCCCAAGTGCACGCCATGATTCACAAACTAAACCTGTGGATTTGGACATTGGAAAGTATATTATTAATCTCAATGCAAAGGTTAGGGGCGGACTTTCTAAGTTAATTCTCATGATTACTTATGTATTTAGTTGATGTTGAAATGATATGCAATGAGTTTAAAGTGCTCTTATTTTTGGCAAGGTTTATATTACAAAGAGAACTCATGTCTGACTTACTGTCAATAATGCAATTCCCTGTGTTACAGCGTCACCAGTACTGGTTAGACCGGTCCACTCCCCACAATACAGGGAGATGGGTTTTCACAGTTGTCTTGGCACTCCTGTATCTACTCAGGGTCTATCTGCTCCAGGTAAGTGTGATAGTTATTCCATATTACATTTGCAGTGTAAATTCAGACGGTGTGGAGGTGTTCCTCTTGATGTCAATCACTTTCTGTCTGGTCCAAACTCGATAATTTACAGACGGTCGTGATATGGTTTGACTATTGCGGAGTGTGGCGGTAAACAAGAAAATTAAACAAACTAATGCAATTGTTTTACCTATCGTTTTTAGCTATGGCAATATCACTGAGTATGCCATCCATAGTCACCCTTATCTTCTGGTCGTTTGGGCCACTTGTTTCTATTTATTCATATGAAACGTTTAGTTAAATAACAGTTACAGGTATCTGACTTACAGTCAGACTACCTCATATTTCAAATTTAATAATTTGTTGCTATTTAATATCCCTGAACAGTCTTTTCAAGAAAGACAGGTTGAGTTAGAAGGCAAGAATATTTTTTTTTTCACAGACAGTCTTTACTTAGCCAAATACCTAACAGACTGTCTTTAATGACTGTTCGGTCGATGGTTCAATACCCTGGCTGTGTCATACCAAGAGATGTTAAAAGATGGTACATGTTGTTACCCTGCATTGCGCTAAGCATTTAGGGGCTAAAACAAAGAGTCGGTGTAGTTTTAGCCCTATGTAAACCTGCCGCCCTGTATCTCGGTGGGTAGCACTATGAAGCCAGCACAATTCAAGATGGGTACAAGCAGCCTCAAACATGTTTGATTGGGTGGCACGGGTGGCCCAGTCGTCTTAGGCACCACGATTCGCTGTGCAGGGTTGCATCCCTTGGGCACACCAGAAACCTAAGATTGTGGGTTCGAATCCCGGTTCGCCCCGATTATGATTCTAGGTTTGTCAACACCATACCCGTGCTCGTGGGTTTCACTGAAGTGGTAAACGTCTGAGACCTGCATCACTTCTAGCTATCCCCCCCCGCATTAAGCTGATACGCCGCGATATAACTGATACTGTTTAAAGCGGTGTTAAACCCAACTCACTCACTCACGAAATGATTGAAATAATCTTAAACATGATGTTCAACCACATTCTCCCTCTCCTTATCATGTAAAAACCCATTCAGAACTTGTTTTTCTCTTGTGTTTTACATTTTTGTTTTTACATGATTGTTGTTTTTTTTCTTTCCAGGGCTGGTATATAGTAACATATGCTCTGGGCATCTACCTGTTGAATCTATTTATAGCTTTCCTTACACCAAAAATAGATCCTGCTCTTTTAGATGACAATGGTAAGATATCTTGTTCATTTTGTATTTTAGAGGTGAAGCCTTCAGAGTGGCAAACCTGTCATAGGAATTGATAGAGGATGAGTGACTGTACTACCTGACTATTGTGAAATAAAATCGCAGTTGGGTGGATAGATGCTCATGGTGTCAATCACTGGATTGTCTGGTCCAGATACGATTATTTACAGACCGCCATCATATAGCTGGAATACTGCTGAGTGCGGCGTTAAACAAGTAACAAACAAAACAAAACTTGTGTGGACCGATGAACAGGACACGATATTGCTGGAACACTGCTGTCTTTGGGTGCTGAGAATGAATGACATTTGAGTGTACGCTGATGTATTGATCGGGTAATAATGTAGCAAAATAAGCTGACACTTGGTGAATGGAATATGGGGTATAAATGAAATATGATTCCCCCACCCGAAAGACTTTTTCGGGAGTATGAAAATGAATACTGATTGTCCGTGGAAGATGTCGTTTCTGGAACAGATCTTTAAAATTGTACGATATTTCCTCACCAAACTTGGTACATAGATAGGTCTAGTGATGAACTGATGTATTTTGATAGTTTGGGATTTTTAAAAATTCATTTTTTGAGTTTCCATGGCAACAACTTTGACTTAGGCTGGAAATGGTGGTATTGCTCATTTCCTGAGCAGATCTTGATAAAAGTGCATTATTTCTTCACAAAACTTGGCACATTGAAAGGCCTAGTGGCAAACTGGTGCCTTTTGATAGTTTGCAATTTTAAAAAACCCATGTTTTTACAAATTTCTATAGCAACAACTTTGACTTAGACTGCTAAATTGTATTAGTGCTTGTTTCCTGAGCAAATCTGAAAAACCGTACAAGATTTTTTCACCAAGCTTGGCACATAGATAGGTCTAGTTGTGAACTGGTGCCTTTTGGTGATTTGGTATTTTTAAAAAAATATGTTTTGAGTTTCCATGGCAACAAGTTTCACATGTTTATTCACGACCAGTATTTATTGATACCAATGATTTTGTCTTGTTATTAGTTTTATTATTTGAATGTGGGCCACCATGTCCTCTGCATGTGGATACTACTTAAAAATAGAAAGTATAAACAGTTTGTTAAATATCAATTATATTGTTTATTCATCAACAGATGATGGTCCATCATTGCCAACCAAAGCAAATGAAGAGTTTCGTCCTTTTATGAGAAGGTTACCAGAATTTAAATTTTGGTGAGTATTTTATGCTTCGTTTATTGTGAACAGCAGCCAGAAATTGCGCATTGCCAGGGTGCAGCCCTGTACATAGTTCTTCACAATGTCAGCATGTACAACTAGCTCTAGACATTGCCAGGGTTTAGCTCTAGACATTGCCAGGGTTTAGCTCTAGACATTGCCAGGGTTGAGTTCTACACATTGCCAGGGTGTAGCTCTGTACATTGCCGGGGTTAACTCTACACATTGCCAATGTTTAGCTCTATACATTGCCATGGTTTAGCTCTATCTATTAACTGGGTTAAGCTTTATACCTTGACTTGGTTTAACTCTACACATTGCCAGGGTTTTAGCACTACATATTGCTATGGTTTACTCTTTCCCCATCAACACTCTAAGGCTAATGAATATTTCGGCATGAAAGTCTTTCAATTGTTTATCGGATTTCCAAACACATTTACAGTAACAACTTAGTGTATCCAAAAAAAGGAGGTGAGAAGACATATGTTGAGTAAAAACACATTGTAGTTTTTATTCTTTTCATTGATACAGACTATTAGTTGTTCTTTTGTAAGATCTGACTAAACCATGTCATATTTCTCTTTTCAGGTACTCTGCCTCCAAGGCCATATTTGTGGCAATGATATGTACATTTTTTGATGCACTTAACATCCCTGTGTTCTGGCCTATCCTCGTCATGTATTTCATCATTCTGTTCACCATTACCATGAAGAGGCAGATAAAAGTAAGTACATGTCTCTCCAAAATTAAGAATGAAAATCATGGGGTTAATGTCATGATCCTAAGTCTTTATGTAAATATTCATAGATTTCTTTTAATTAGTGCCAACTCACATTTGTTATGGAGAACATTTCATGGTACAGGAAAAAACTGTTTCCATTTGCATACTTATCCTTTGTTTACAATTGTTGTGCAGTTCCACATGCAGACATGAAACCCTACAGGTAGCTGGCGATATGTGTGTAGATATACTGTCATCATCCTCACTCCCACAGCTGTAGTAGCATGTCAGTAATTATGTAAAACAATATGTAAGTCGCACTGAAGGGTTTCGGCTCCATCAGACTGCTTAGATTTTAGAATTTACGAGTTTGTTTACAAACAAAGGAAAAGTCGAGTCACATGATATGCAAATTAGCTTGTGGCCGTGCTGTCATGCTAAGTCATCACTGATATTTTTAGAAACTAATGCATCAATTTTTCATGACTTTATCAAATTTTGAAAGGATATTCTTCTATATATTTACCAAATTTGACAAAAGTCCTTTTTGGACATTTGGATACCATCGGTCAGCTTCCTAGAAAGTTAACCAATGCCTCAAGAATGAATTTAGATGCTGTTGAGTGACATAGAATTATGAATGTGTTGTATTTAGGGCTGGGACGAGTCCAAATTTACTACTCTCCACCCTATTACCCGAACCTACCCGGGTACCCGTTGCAGATATTTAGAGATAGGTAAAAACTGTCTGATTTGGAAAAGTTTGACCATAGCCCTGGTAAAATGTATTTAAATACATATGTAAAAGATCTGGTCATGCATACACTGAAGTTTACTGCATGGAGTTTTATCTTTAATTGAACATATAAAAGTCAGAAGGAATGGGTGCATTGTCAGAAAGAAATGGGAACATTAGTGACTTGTAGTGCAACCATAGAGTTTAGATAATTTTTGTCATTAAACAATATATCATGTGACTAACCATGGGTCCGGGAAGTCCTACTCAAGACCCACCCGAGTTACCCGTCCCAGCCCTAGATGTATTGCTTGCTGTCATTAATATTGAATTTGTTTACATTCAACTTTATTATCCTCTGTCTCTTTCCAGCATATGATAAAGTATAGGTATCTGCCATTCAGCCATGGAAAAGCAAAATACAAGGGCAAGGAGGATTCTGGTAAAGTTATGGCCAATTAGATAAACCAGAGAATTTGAGAAGGACATCGTTGGGTCTTCACCTCATCAACTGTAGAGACCAATGGTGCCATGGTCTGTTGGAACAGATGTGTACAGAACTTTTAACTGTTGTCATAGTCAAATGAATTTGATGTCCTGAATGTTCTTCAGTGGAGAGTTTGAAAGTGGTACATATAGCTTGTGAGTTATCTCCCCTGGATACATAGTAGTTACCTCCCCTGTTCATGTTATGAACTTGAAAAACGGTTGGACGATGCACAAGGCGTATGTCCTGTTGATTTTGTTAGCTTTTAAAGTAGTAAACCAACAAACTTACCTTTTTCAGGTTCAGCAATGGGAGTTTTTGTTTTGAAAATTTGAAATAATTCTTATTTGGGCAATCAGTCTGCAGTGTTTTTTCTTCATTACTGTTACACAGTCACCATGTTCACTGTTACTTCGAGGGTTAAAAGGTATGCTCAAGTTTGCTATTTTGTTTCCATTGATAATGTATATATCTGTAATAGTGAGGAAGAAAAACTGTTTTGACAGTATGGTGGAATGTTGTGTAAAGAATAGGGTATACTGTCATTCAGTTATTTTTGTCGTGAAAACATAATCAACAAGTTCCTAAAACGTAATTATTTGTGTGTTATTAATGATATAATAAATGAAATAGATGAAAATTTTGTATTATCTTTGGTGCAATTAATAAAACACAGTCATTCTTCTGCTTAGCAGTCATTAATATGCACTTACACACTGTATGGATAGTATATGAACAACCACCTTGGTACAACTCTCAGCTTGTTATGTCGTGATGCCATAGGGAGGGCTGTCGTCTCAGTTCACTGTGCAGAGTAGCATCCCTTAGGCGTATCAGAAACTAGTGGGTTTGAATCCCAGATTTGCCCTGGTTTTTTGTCAGCACACTAACCATGCTTCAGGCTTTTCAAAAACTGATGAACATCGAACACCTGCATATCACTTTGGGATTGCCCCAGAATCAAGCGGATGCATAAATGATATATCAGAAATACTATTGAAGGCAGTGTAAAACAAAACACACTTAGTGTGTTCAAACTGTCGACAGCTAGTTTATCAGGCCCAGGTCAGACTGGGTGCTTTAACATATTGCCAACTGAGGCATGATCTCTGCTAAGTATAAGCTCGTTTCCTTATGCCCCTGTCCATGTTTATTCTTTATACACAAAGTACATCACTTAGAAATTCAGCTAAGCTTATTGTATTACTTGATTCTCAGACTTATTGAGGAGGCTAAAAACCTGCTGTTGCAGTGTGAAAATAACAAGTAAAACTAGAATCGGCTCCTACAATAATTGAGATATCCAGAGTTGGTACAAGATCATTTTCCCTTCAAGAAAATAAATTACTCTAAATTTCATCATACATTTTCACAGGTATTGGGTCAAGTATGAAAGTCAGTCTCAATATGCACCAAACAGTTAACAAATAAATGGAAATGTTTTGGGTTTTTTAAATAAAGAAAAAAATAGAAGTCTCATCACTTTCTTGCCAGTCCAACTTTTAGTGTTGCACATAGCAGTATTCTAGCTACATGACATCTAATAGAGTTAGACATTATAGAATCTAAATCAGAGAAAGCAGTAAGTTATGTAATGATTCAAGTCGGGGTATGTTGACGCAGTCAACTGAGTCACCAGTCCACTATGTCTCCTCAACAGGCACAGGATTTGGAGGCCCTATTCTAACATGTGGGATAGGAGCAGTAAATTGTCCTTAGCCTTAACCTCGTTACAAGATTTATTTAGTCTGATCAAAACAAGCAGTCATTCATTAAAATCTGTTGATATAATTGAAACATATGTATCTCTGATGCAAGTAATATAAAAACCCTCTCAATATGGTTTCACTAAGTTAAACCTTATTACTTCATTGTATATAGATCTATTTATTTCCTGTTGGGTGACGCTCAAATGTAGATCAGAATTAAGAATTTTCAGATATGATTATCATTTGATTTCTGGATTTCAACAGTAATAATCAGAGTTTTCTGTCAGTTTTATGAACAGTGAATGGCGACATGCTTTCTGTCGAAGACTGAAGGCAAATCAAACTGTATGTAGCGTGTATCTCATCATATTCATGTATGTTTTGTTAGTGCATGTTCAACCGGGACAGCTCTGTATCTACAACCATCGCCCTCATCCTGCCATGTCATTTGATCATCAACCAAATCACACCTCGCCCCTTTTTAATAAATGACCGGTCCTAAGCATGAATGATGATTGTCCTGTTCTTTATCTTGCTTTGCTGGGAAATGATAACAAAGTACTGAACTATCACATTAACCAGAAATAACACTGTATAGACACGAGCAGGGTAACTTGTATCATAAGGAGAGTTAATTCAGTTAAAACATTGACATGCCCTGTATTAGGATGCTTGGCTTGCTGTGGTATAATTTTGGACTATCCAAATACCAGATAAACAGTTCCTGGTACTCTCCTGGAAAAATCTCCGATTCCATGCTCAGTGCCCTTGGCAGGCTCACTGTGGAAAAATCGTTATTTTGTTCAAAATTGGGATAATATTTTGTATTTTCTGACATTTGGAAGTGTTTCAACATTGAAGTCAATGCAGAAATATGAAGAATTAAACCTCTTTCTTTATATTAGTCCTGTTATGAGTGAAATCAGTTCTCTGCAAAGCCATAACTACCAGTATACTAACATGAATTGGGAAATTGTTCATTCCTGTTTTTGGAATTGTTACTGACATTTGCCTCCCAGCTGGTCTAGATAAACCCCTGCCTCTCTCCTGAAGTCACTGACACTTTAGGATTAGAAGAGGATCTACAAAAGGAATGTTATTTCTATGGAGTGTACACTGCTAACAAGAATATATGCCATATCCAAGAACTAAGGCGTAATAATTCTCCTTGTTGCACCACGGCCATCTTGATCATATGGTCGCTGTACAATGCATGATACAAGACAATGCATGAACATTCTAGAGTTGTCTTGAAACAGTCATATTCTCATAGGAAGAATATTCTGTCAACAAACAGCATATTCATTACTTGAGTCACTTCATGGCACATGCATAGATTTTGAGGCCTTGATGCGTACCATCTGATGCAAGTATTTTACAAATAGACGGTATCCTTATATGTACTGACCTCTGCTTTGGTTGGTTCTGAATCAATACCTAGACACAAATTATCTATTGTAGTGACTCTTCAGAGAATTATGTACAGGCTAAAAGAATAAAAGGTTATGTTTTTCGAGCACAGGCTCATTTCTTTCAATCCTGTGCGTTAGTAATATTTATTGCTAAAAAATATTATTCTTGTTAACCATAAAATGACATGCTTGACAACAGATTTTGTATCAAAGAGCCAAGGTCAATGTGTGCCCTGTTGTGTTAAGAAAATAAAGTGTTCCTCCCATGTCCCTTTTGTTTTCAGTATCTAAAAATATTTTTAAAGTCTTACTGCCCTCGTCACTTTTGAGAAGAACGATACTGAGAAACATTTCTTTTTTGTAGCCTTACAGAATAAACTAGGTTCCAACTTTGTGAGGCTATTTCTCTCTTGCAATAATTGCTACAAATGATATTTTATGTTTGTTTTTTTCTAAAGAAACTAGAATGCTTAGTAATATATACACATATATATGAGTCTAGTCAGAAAAAGGATTTTATAGCAAAGGTTGTTTTAGATTTTAATTTTTGATGTAATGTTTGCTTTATAGACAGTGAGTGTACAATTATCCTCATTCCCAATATTTGTAGATACTTGTTGGTAATATCAGGGATAGAAATAACTTGGTTAGTATACCAGCCCCAATAGTGAAACCAATAGGAACAACATGTTAAGATTCTGCCAGCCGATACCTTTAACAATAGCAAAACTAGAACAGATTAACAAGCTAGTGCTAATTTCTATCCCTGGACTAGATACATGTTCGTTACGTAGATGTCCATGAGTTTATTTCTAGATGCTGCTGACTCGTTGCCGGTTTGTAGATTGAGATGTTTAGATAACCAGAATTGAGGTTTTGGTGAAATATGAGACCATTGTTGTGTACTGGGAGATGAATCCCAACTATTTGATTGTGTGTATATCTGGACTTCAATAGGCTAAGCTTTCAAATGTCATAGATCTGCCTTCAAACTATGCATCATCACTGTTTCCTGCAGCTAACAGAAAAAAAATATACTACACAAAAGAAGCTGAAGAACATGACAGATTAACTACAGGCATTTGAAAAGAAATCAGGTGTTCCTTAACTTCTTTTGAGTAGTATATATGGTTTTCAGATTATACTGTTCATTCACATGACACATTTTTAGATTTGTCTGTTTGAGGATGTTTGAAGATTATTATGCAGAGATGTAAGTATTAAAGAAGTTTATGAAAACGCAGTATTTGCGTCAAAAGATTTCTCAAGAACAGCTGGTTACATGCTTTGAGCAAAGCAGGAAACGTGACTGAGCCAGATGTATGACTGCATGATTCCGAGTCCTGCCACATGTACAGTGATGAATGCAACAACACATGTATATAGACATCACCAATATCAGATTATAAAATATTGATATCTGAGTCTTCTTGTTTTGTTTGTTCTTATATGGCCTTGTCTAAGGCATCGCAATTCAGTGTTCAGAGATATGTCCCCTTGGGTCTACCAGAAACCTATGATTTAGGGTTCAAGTTCTGTTCACGCGATTATGTTTCTTGCTTTGTCTTTACTTTTTCCTCGCAGGACTCCATCCTGGGTGTGAGGTTTTACTTTTTCCTCGAAAGACCTCATCCAGGGTATGAGATTTTATTTTTTCCTAGTGAGACCTCATCCAGGGTATGAGGTTTTACTTTTTCCTAGTGAGACCTCATCCAGGGTATGAGATTTTATTTTTTCCTAGTAAGACCTCATCTTGGGTATGAGGTTTTACTTTTCCTCATAAAATTTCATCCTGGGTTTGGGGCGGTCGGGTAGCCTAGTGGTTACAGCGTTCGCTCGTCACGCCGAAGACCCGGGTTCGATTCCCGACATGGGTACAATATGTGAAACCCATTTCAGGGGTCCCCGGCCGTGATATTGCTGGAATATTGTTAAAAGCGGCGGAAAACCAAACTTACTCACCCATCCTGGGTTTGAGATTTTATTCCCCCACCCCAAGTAAGACCTGATGTGTTGAGTAGCAGATGAAATTTGGACTTAGTGCGTCAAACGTCCAGCGTTCTAAATCTGAGGACTAGAATTGAAACTATTGATCATGGATGACAGGAATTGAACCTGCAACCTTACATGTCTTGTTAAGTTTTTTAACCCCCTGTTTTCCCACTGAGCCACCAGGACAGGTGTTCAATCTTACATGTGATGACTTCGTTTGTGTTCATGCTACACATGGTCTGTCTTTGGCGTGCTTTCATCGAATTCCTTGAATACCGCGACATACTGTATTGTTTCACTCAAAGACGTATATAGAATATACATCCGTGTTTCACTATAAGGTATCCCAATGTTTTCTTATTTTTCTGGGTGTTTTCTTGCATTTAGACGGTTCATAAGTCAGATAAAACTCTCCTGCTCGGCTATGGTTGAAAACGTAAAATGCTCATGGTTTCACATTTTCAACCAAAAGGGAGCAGGAGAGTTTTATTCTAAGAGGGGTGATCGGGTAGCCTAGTGGTTTAAGCGTAAGCTCGTCACGCTGAAGGCCTTGGTTCGATTCCCCACATGGGTACTATGTGTGAAGCCCATTTCTGGTGTGATATTGTTGGGAATATTGTGTAAAATCCAACTCACTTTATCGTTAACATCCCCGATCCGAATCAGCATCACTTCAGCAAAGTGCCTGCATCGTGATCTATCGACAAATACAGTATGCTTCACTTCACTAAGACACTTGCCTTCAAAAACCAGTACTTAAATTTTGGATCATCTATATTTACTTACTGAGTTGGAAACTGGTACAGTAGGTGTGTGAAGGTGCATTAGGAAGAAAATCAGTCCGTGAAGATCCAGGGTAGAACAGGTCTTCAGCAACCAATGCTTGCCATAAAAGGTGACTATGCTTGTCGTTAGAGGCGACTAACGGGATCGAATGGTCAGGTTCGCTGACTTTGTTGATGCACGTCATTGTTCCCAATTGCCTGGATTGATGCTCATGTTCAATCACTGGATTGTCTGGTCCAGGTTCTATGTGCCGGAAGGATAACAATAAGTACCATCTTTTGACTGTATCTTCCCTCTCCGGGTGGATACTAGACAACAGAGGCGGTCTCCGAATTAGGGATCTCTGTAGTGACAAGTCAACACTTCCCATCCACACCGCTGGACAACATTACACAGCTCACAACACAAGTTGGAAAATAGATGAGGCATTTATTTCACTTAACATAAATTCTATGAATATTTAATTATAACCAGTTTGCTATTACAATGCAATTTACTGTCCCATCACATAAATATCATGCTCTGCTATTATACTGTAGATATACACACATCATCCATAAAGCTTGACATATTTCAGAAATTATACTAAAACTTGAATCACCTGGCACGTATCATTTGACCATGATCATTGATTTCATATAACAGTCAGTACTAAGTGACATCACCACCAAATATGACAGATCATTATCGTATTTCCATAACCATGGTAACAGACAATTTCATGATGACAGATATATCAATACTTCCGTCACAGTCCGTAACAATGTCAAGAACAATGTCAGCACCAATACATACAGTAAAATAAATATTGTAGCATGCTCGTCCCGATTTCGCATTTCTAGACTTGCTGGCTCTCGTTCACATTTTCACCATTATTTAAACATTCTTTAATTTCATGGCTTACAAATTTTCTACATCAGCGTCAGTACTAACAGTCAGTACTAAGTGACATCACCACCAAATATGACAGATCATTATCGTATTTCCATAACCATGGTAACAGACAATTTCATGATGACAGATATATCAATACTTCCGTCACAGTCCGTAACAATGTCAAGAACAATGTCAGCACCAATACATACAGTAAAATAAATATTGTAGCATGCTCGTCCCGATTTCGCATTTCTAGACTTGCTGGCTCTCGTTCACATTTTCACCATTATTTAAACATTCTTTAATTTCATGGCTTACAAATTTTCTACATCAGCGTTGACTGGGAATAAAGTTGTTTGGGTCGGTATAGTGCAGGAGGTTTAATATTGTACATTCACATGTATACTACTCAAAAGAAGTTAAATACCATGACAGATTATTTGTTTTGTTTGTTGTTAAACGCCGCACTCAGCAGTATTCCAGCTATATGACGGCAGTCTGTAAAAAATCGAGTCTGGGCCCGACAATCCAGTGATTGATATCATAAGCATCGACCCAAGTGATTGGGATCGATGACATGCATCAACCAAGTCAGTGAGTCTGACCACCTGATCCTGTTAGTCGAATCTTACGACAAGCATAGTTGCCTGTTATTGCAAGCCTGGGTTGCTGAAGACCTATTCTACCCTGGGTCTTCACGGGTCCCATGACAGATTAACTACCCTGGGTAGGTATATTAATAGGAAAGAATCGGGTGCTCTTTAACTTCTTTTGAGTTGTATATGAATTTCCTGCCATCATTAGGTATTTGTAATGGCCACATTGCATTGGAGGGAACACACAATGAAATCAATTTGCTACTGTTTAATTAGTTTGTTCATGTTGCTGCATATTTATCATTTTCTAACCTTTTTGTTGTGTTTGTAACCTCAGCAATATTCCAGCTACATGACGGCTGTCAATCAATCAAAGAGAGACTGTCAGGCAGATATATATAAATTGAATTTTCTGATAGTGTTTTGGCTCTGATTGGTTGAACCTATAAAATAAAATATCAGGAAAGTGTAGCCTGGCTGTATAGTGAAAATGAGAAAGTCTGGTTAAATAGCATTCATCATTTTGAAGTTAATATATTGTGTCTAGACATTCTAGGTCCATAAAGAACCCTACATTTGTCCATCCTAGATATCAACACTTGAATTCATGACATGACAGATCAACTCTAGTCATATGAAAGAAATCAGTGTTCTTTTAACTTTTTTTCAGTAATATATATTTTAGGAGGTAAGAAGAAAGTACTTGATAGAAATATAGCTTTTTACAAATATTTAAATACTTAACCAATCAGACATGTATATGTGCAGAAATTCCTAAAGCACACTCTTCTGATGTTCAACTCGTAGCCTTCAGTGGTGATATACAGAAAAGCTGATATAGTTATCACAGCTATTCTAAATGCTAAACTGTAATACTAATTAGTGATATAATTTCAAACCATTTTCAAGAGCTCAATCTTCAGCATTTAAGCATGCAGCCAGAAGCATCTCTCTCATGTATATCAAATTGAATTTTAATGCATTTCAAGTTTAAACTTTTAAACTTTTAAACAACTAATGAAATCTATTTGCAAACAAATGTCCATCATTTACATTTGAATAAACTCAAATTCTTTCTTGGACGGTAGACAATCATGTCTTACATAATGCTTACCATATTTACAACGAATGCTACTCGGTAGCCGGACTGTTTTGGCAAAGGGAACGTCCTTTCCTTAGACCAGACTTTTGGGGTGTTGTGGGGGGGGGGGGGGGGGGGGGGGGCGTTTGAATGTTATGAACTTATGGTTATAAAATTTCAATTTGAACTTTATTCATATTTCCTCTCATGATTCATCTTCCCAAGGCAAGGGAGTTAACTGACTTTTAAAGTTAGTTTTCACCCTTGCCGAACTAGGCTGAAATACCAGCCTAGTTCGGCAAGGGTGGAAACTGGACTTTTATAGTCAGTTAACTCCCTTGCCCCAGGAAGATGCTCACGATTAGTAATAATTCATTGTAAATTGTTTGATAGGCATTACTTAGAAATTGACGGATGACAAGGTAGACACAATTTTAAGGATAACAACTTCTTTAATACTGTAAAAAGCGATGTTTCGGTATAGATCATTATACCGTTGTCAAGCAAGACATTGTGTTTTAAAGTTTTTCAAATTATCTTGTACAGGTCTTAATAAGAGTCTTTCAAATAATGTATTTATATTGATAGCCATTGTAAAAGATTTGTTTTTTAACATTTTACTTATTTCTAGTCAGCTGAATAAAAAGAAACATTGATGTTCATGTTTTAATTTTTTTTTAAATTACAATTTTTGGATTCTGATATTCATAAACCATTTTTTATATAAAGTCTTGCCTTACCTGAGATTATGTCGTTCACAGGGAGACAGGACACAGGGATTTCAACTTCTGTATTCTATGATTTTATAAGTTTTGGGACTAAAGAGTTGAGATCAGTATATCTTGTGTCTCCATAAACGTCTAAATGACTGTCCAAGTCCTACCTCCATTGCTGTTATCATTTAATGGGGCTACTGTCATATATGTGACACAATGTGATAATACATACCACAACATGTGTATTTAATACTTGTAAAGGTGAGGTTCCTTAACAAGACAAGGTGACCTGTATTTATGTGGGCTTTGATGATACATCAAAGCATCACACTACATAACGTATCATGGAAGTCTTGGTACATGATGCATCACGAGACTCACGGTACACAATGCATCACGACAATCATGGTACATAATACATATACATTTAGTATCTGGTATTTTTCATAAGGATATTTCTTTTATTCCATGTTACACAAAACAGATTAATAATAATTTGGAACTTTGGCCCAGAAAAGTTCTCAGAAGATAAACTGTAACCCATGGAGTCGAAATAATATATTTCATTTCATTTAAGCATTTGAGTATGTACTAATTAAACAATTAGATAATATAAAATTAAATACAAAGGATAAATGTATGATGAAGGCCGTTTTTGGTGCACTAGAAATGCAAAATTTCAAAGTTATAGAAAAATGCCCAACAAGTTCAAGAAAATGTTGAGAACATAGCAAGTGTTTGTGTGACTGATACAGGTTTGTTTTTGTTTACTATTTAAGTTCAGGGTTCAAGGTTCATGTTTGCAACATTTGATGCGGAGATCTATACAAGATCTGTGTACAAGCTATTTCAGAAAGTTTGACAAAAAATTATTTTGACATTTTAAGAGCAAGACTTTGTTCCAGTTAATCCGAGACTTCACTTCGCACCTGGACTTCAATGTTCTAAATGATCTAAGCCGTATCTCTGTGACACCATTTCTAAAGAGAAAAGATGTTAGGGACCAGCCATTTATCAAAGGGTTGGGTGGAGCAGAGCAGAGGGAATAACAAGCTTCTTCTTTCTTTTTTATATATATTTGAGAATTTTATAATTGCAGAACATACACACATATCGCACATGGAAACTGGTAATTCACAACTAAGGGACCGGTCATTTGTTATTGGGGACGTGTCAGAGGAATGAGGGGAGGGTCACCAAGAAATATGACAGTCTCTAGGGGAGGTTGATAAGAAATAATACACATATTTGGGGAGGGTCACAAAAAATGGAAATTATAATATAACATAATATAAAATGCTTTTGCATTTTGTCTTGTTTCGAAGGGTCATGAAAAAGACAAGCATTACGAGAGGGTCATTATTTTCAGTTCATTAGCGCATACAAACCCTTATTGCCCCACCACCACTACACATTCTGTAATCAATGACCGGTCCCTTAATTAAACAAGACGTTTTCCCTGACTGTATTATCTGTTTCAGCAGACCAACACGAAGACAAAGTGCCCTTATCATACCAATTCCTTTGATCAACCAAGGATTTCATTTCTTAAAAACTACAAGCAAACTATTTTGTTAAAAATGTATTTCATGTAAATCAGACAACTGGTCAGATTATAGACCACAATTTGTGCCTCCCAAATGAGATCCTTGATTATGATGATACAATCGTGAACACCACAAATACCCATTGACCATGTGTGTATGCACATGTCAAAATAATCAAATACATTCTTGAAATTAACAGCTTTACTAAAAAAGCAGTGGATTACATTCCAATGTCTACAGGCTCTATGTAACTATACCTTAAACCTGGATCAATACAAAAGTCTTTCTCATTATCATTAAAATCAGATATTTTACTCCGACACCATAACTCTGCATGAGTGAGTGAGTTGGGTTTAATGCTGTTTTTAACAGTATTCCAGTTATATCGTGGTGTGTCAGCTTAATGTGGGAGGAAAGCCCTAAGTGATGCAGGTCTCGGACGTTTACCACTTCGGTGAAACCCACCAGCACGGGTATGGTACCGACAAACCTAGAAACATAATCGGGACGAACCAGGATTCCAACCCACAATCATAGGGACGCAACTCTGCACAGCGAATCACTGAGTCTTAGACGACAGGGCCACCCGTGCCTCCCTCTGTGCATGAAGATCTGAAGCTAATAGGGGTTGAGTGAGTGAGTATGTTTTTTGGCCGCTTTTAGCAATATCAAAGCAGGTGATACCAGAAATGGGCTTCACACATTGTACTCATGTCGGGTCTTCGGCTTGACGAACGAATGCTTTAACCACCAGACCACCCGACCGCCCCAAATCTTGTTATGAGTGACTGAAGCATCATCCAGCATATCTGATTTCTGTATCTTGAAAACATACATAATCAGCAAGGTATGAATGCAAAATAATGTGTCTGCACTATCATTTCCTAGTGAATAATTTGTATACGGCATCGACTCCCAAAATGGTGTACTATCAAGATCCAATATGTGTTCTGTGTGGGCATGTTTTTGTTACAAAAATCAAACTTTCTGAATCAAGGTGGAAAAGATATGAAGTCAAATAATTTTAGAAAGCAGACATCTGATTGGCTCAACACCCCATTCATCCTTCATTTTGATTGGGCGGTCAAAGGGCATTCAAGGTTCACCTGATCGACCCGCATGTCTTCAGATTGTCAAGCGCGTGTTTCACTTAATGTTCGTTTAATGCAATCAGTGAAATATACATTCCTTGTTCACAATGGCATCTGGAACCTTTGTAGTGTTTATGTCTGTTTGTTTGTCTGCAGAGATGAATTGTATTGGCGTAAGATATCAGATCTCAATGAGTCAAGCCAAAGATCTAGTCAATCAGCTTCATCACCATGTTAAAATAATGCTTCAGGAAGTAACAATATCTGTTCTTAATATATTCACTATGTTATTAAAAAGTATTTGAGAGCTGAGAATTTAAATAATTTCCATGTCAATATTAACATTGACAAACAAACATGATATTAAATTTTAAATGTTATTTATTTTGTTATGGCTGAATTATCTCTTGTAAATAGGACATGCATATACGGTCTCTTTTCACAATTGATATCGAGTTCCTTTGGACAGAAATCTTAAAATAAGTCAAAAAGCTAAAACAGTAACATTTTGAAAGAGATTGTAGTTCTTGAATATCCACACTTAATCATTTAAAAAAATAAAACTCAAGCACCAATAGGACAAAAAGTAAAGATTCCAACATTTTGAAATCTATTGCTTTCACGATTAAAATCACATCCATTCAATGAATGTTAGGTCATTTTTTCACCACTGCCTCTTCTCCAAGCTGCAGGCGAGCAAAAGCAAGCAGACACCAAGCTGACCTTGACCTCTCCATTTGAAGGTCATGCAGATTTATCCGGCTGGGAGCTGGGGATGCTTCTTTTCTGTATGACGGTCATGGCCGATCATATCTTATGACTTTTGGGACTGAAGTCACATTGTTCCAGCAGTCAGAACCAGACGTGGACTGTTTGGGGATTTTGAAATCTATTACCATAACATGATCCAGTAGACAATATGGGAGTGAGGGAGAATGATAAGTAGCTGCTCTTATTTGTTTGCTTTCATATCATTCAACCTACATTCATTGATAATAAAATAAACATTCATAAAATATCTATCATATTAGTGATTTTTCAAATTGGGTTAAAATCAATATTTGTCTCCCTTGATGACTGGACCTGATATGTTATGCATTGGTATCTAGTTCAAATGACTGCTGTTGTTAGGAGTTGACCAAATCTCTTTTAAGATGTTATCTTTCAAGATTAAATCCAGGGGTGCCATCCGGCCCCTTCGGCTGACGAGAAACTGCATTGTCGGCAGGGGACACATCAAACTTCTGGACCAATCCGGCAGGTCTGTCAAAGAAAACAACATTCTTAAACATTCAAATTTTGAGCATTAATACATCTTCCCGAGGCAAGTGAGTTAACTGACTACATTAGTCCAGTTTCCACCCTTGCCGAACTAGGCTGGTATTAGGGAGTTACATTTTGGCTGGACTAACGAGTCTATGTATAGTCCAATCAAAATCACGCAACGAAATTGAACTCCGGATCGTAAACTGTCATGCAGATTTCAGTCGATTGCAGGATTTGCAAGGCATGTGCAATGCCAACTTGTTGTCATCAGATATTTTCCAGATCTTTTTATGTTTTTAATCAAGGTGATCGCGTGATTTGATGCACTTCGCGATGTAAGAACCGTTTTATCACAATATAGATCTTGATTATCGATCAGATCGTCTTGACTGGGTGCTGCCATTTTGTTTGAAACAAATGCAAGTGATACGAGAGGTGGAATCTGACTGGTCCATAGGAGAGGCTTAGAAGGGACATAACTCGTAATAAGCACTAGCCGGGGAAGAATATTATAAACCTATAACGAATATTGACCATTGTTTTGGTCGGTATTTGTCTCTTCATAATAACCTCTTGGGAGGTTTTACTTTTTCCTTGTAAGACCTCATCCTGGGTATGTGGTTTTACTTTTTCCTAGTAAGACATCCTGGGTATGAGGTTTTACTTTTTCCTTGTATGACCCCATCCTGGGTATGAGGTTTTACTTTTTCCTATTAAGACCTCATCCTGGGTATGAGCTTTACTTTTTCCTTGTATGACCCCATCCTGGGTATGAGGTTTTACTTTTCCTTGTATGACCTACATCCTAGGTATGAGGTTTTACTTTTTCCTTGTATGACCCCATCCTTTTCCCCCCAAGTAAGACCTGATGAGTTGAGTAGCAGATGAAGTTTGGACTTAGTGTTTCAAATATCCATGTTCTTAAACTGAAGACTAGAATTGAAACTATTGATCATGGATGACAGGAATCGAACCTGCAACCTCACATATTGTGTTAAGTTTTGTAACCCACTGTTTTCCCACTTGTGACAGGTGATGGAAGGCTGTTCAATCTTACATGTCATGACTTCAGTTTGTGTTCATGCTACACATGGTCTTTCTTTGGCATGATTTCATTGAATTCCTTATATACTACAACATACTGTATTGTTTCACTATAAGATATCCCAATGTCGTATAATTTTTTCTGGTATTTCTTGCATTAGACGGATAAAACACAACCCTGGAGTCATGTTTTATCCTTAGCTTCTGACCCAAAATCCCCACAGTTGGAATGATACGATCAGTAACCTCACACTCCCCGTTGGGATACAATGACCCACAGACAAGTTGTGCATGCATTATGAGTATCTGTCAGATGATAATGAATACCTCTCATCTCCCTGTAATGCCTCCACATCACTAGCCGATGGCTCCTCCAAACTTCCAAAGATCCTTAGTCTTGCCTGAGCATACTCAGCTTCACGCTGTTCCAGAGTTTTCATTGGTTTTGCTGCCTGATTGCTGCAAACAAACAAAGTGAATGGTTTACTAGTAGCTTACACTAGAGTATGATATGAGTGATTGAGTGAATAAGGTTTCAAGCCACTCTTAGCAATATTCCAGCAATATCACAGCGGTGGACATCAGAAATGGGCTTCACACAATATACCCATGTCGAGGATCGAACCTGGGTCTTCGGCGTGACGAGCAAACCCTTTAACCACTAGGCTACCTGACTGCCCCAGAGTATGATATGACTGAGACAGACTGACATAGAGTCCCCCAAATAAAGTCATGTTGAGTTAATACCTTTAAGGCCCTTTTTTTTCATCTTGGTTTACATTTTTTTCCCAAAACAATTCAGTTCGGTAGGAGAGCAAATTACAATGTCCAATTCTGACTGACAAGGCAAAGTAACCAGATGTAAGTTACTGTCAACACTGCATGGTAGTCTTTCAATGCAAAAGCGATTCCTTCTGCAAAGTAATGTATTTGGAGGGAAAACTCATCATGTTACTGTGATGCAAGATTCTAGAAATATTTTTTTTATTCTACTACAAAAATATTCTGATCAGCAGTGAAACAAATATTATAAAAAATTTGTCATTTCTTTTTCTTTGTCTAATCTCAACATATATGTGCAGAGCTATAGATAAGCATTTGGTTATTTTACCCATAGGTTTGATTTTGACTGGGTAGCCACAAGTTTTAGAAGGTACAGTGTTCCCTCGTTATTGCGCCCTTCAATATAGTGCTAACTAGGTTATAGCACACGGTAAAGCATGGCTCCCATAATTTACTAACATTTTCAATAAACTCAAGTTTTCCAATGACACGATGTTTTCCCCCATCTCAGAAAAAATTATGAGCTGATCACCGCGATCACGCAACACCGGAAATACCTGTCAACAAATCTGAACTGAAGTACGCAATTTAATCCTATTATTATAATATTTGGTAATAAAATAAAAAAAACCATTCACGGTTTATCTGGACAAATATTGGCAATATATCTTAATTATATTCAAAATTTCATTCAATAATTAAAATAATGTTTACAATAATTTTGGCGAAATCGTATGCGAAGTGATTGGTAGATGGCACAACTCACCGTTATTAACAGCAACCACGGTTAGCGCTATTGACGCCTTGAAATGAAGTTTAGTTGCAAGAGAATGGATACACATATCATAAATGCCGTACCATGACTCGCTAGAAGTTACATTTGAGGCAGTTTGACTATTAAATGTCAACATAACGTTTTCGCAATCGAAATACATGTAGCGCGGGAAGTCCCTACGGTGAGTGGTCAAAATCATTCCATATGTCAAAAAATATCCTGCATACAATTTGTACCAAAGTGCTACGCTCACATGCCACGATAAAACTGGAATACTGTTAAAAGCGGTTTTGAACACAACTCACTCACTCACCTACTCAGCACGCTCAGACACAATATACTGACTACAAGCCGACTAGTCCTTGTTTCACCCCCTTAACGCCCAGTGCCAGACAGGGTAACAACAAGTACCATCTTTTAACATATTTTTGGTTTGACACAGCCGGGGATCGAAACACCGACCTTCTGTTCACCAGACAGACGCTCTATCCACAAGATCAAGGAGAAAGCCCATAGGCAGCTGTGTACAAAGAGCAGGGATGTGAGCATGTTTTGCCGAAAAAAGAGGAAAAGTCTAGGGGGGTCTGGGGGTATGCCCCCCCAGAAATTTTTAAAACATTTGATTGCATTTTAAGCAATTTCATGCAGTTTGGACAACATTCACACCAAGAAATGTAATAAGTCAATGGCAAAAGTCAATAAGTAAAATAAACAAGATGGCAGATGCAGTAAAATTTCGAAGTTAAATCAGTACTTTAAAAAAAATCGGGCATAGCTTTCGCGCACGTGGCTACCCGCCAGGTCTGGGAGCAATACTGCCATAAACTTCAACCCCCATCCCCCAGACACAAGGACAACTGTCACAAGTGTGCAATGTCTGACCCTTTCACCATGTTGAAGCATATTGAAAAAAACTTACCTTGTAATTACCTTTTGATGAAAAAAACAAAACTCCATTGCAAACATAAGACATGACATGGGGTTTTGGACGCGGAAGAAACATTCATAAATTTCTCGCTTATCACATGAACAACTGTAAAACATCTCATTCACTTACAGGCTAAAAGACAACTTTATCTTAAAAACAAGCCATCAGCTGACTCTGAGTATTTACAATTTCTGTATGACGCCATGCCCCACGTTATAGTGCAAGTATTCGTGACGGAAAATGTATGATGTCCGAAAACCTATGCTGTGAAAGCTCCGATGGAAAACAGGACAATCCGCGCCAATTGTCCGGTTTTCGATCATATTTTTCGGAGTGTTTTTTTAAATTTTTAATAATTTTTTCCGCGGAAGATGATTTTTTCCGATGACTACTATTTTAAAAAACGCGATTTTCCGCGTTTCCGCGGAGATTTCACATCCATGAAAGAGGGAAATGTATCCCAAGGTAACATGTCTTCGAGCCTCACCTATTGTCAAGCCTCTTAACAATACGTAACAACACGCTTTATGACATAATCAAGGTAGACGCTTCAAAGCCGACTGAAGACATCAAAGTGTTTACCACTTGCTGCTGACTATATGTTATGAATTAAGCTACACGAGGTAAGATATTCAATAAGTAATGAAAACATACCTCAAAAATTTCAAAAAAATTAAAAAATCTGACAATCTCATTAAAATCAGACCTAGTCCTTGCTACCGCTAAACAAAGATCTGAAGACATCCCATTAGGGGTCACGTCATAACGACCTTTCATCCGACCAATCAGTGTGTCGCTTACCAGATTATGAAAGTGACAGTCGGAATGTGATTTGTAATCCTGCAACTTTAACATGGGGTACTCTGAACGATAGTTATGGGTTTAACGACTGAATCCTTACAATCTAGACCATCTATTAGCGATTCCAGAACGTTTTTTGTTCAGGTTTCAAATTTGTAATCGAGAATTTGTCAAAATATGTCTCGAAGCGTAGACACCAATATGAAATTTGTGCCGCAAAGCACGAGAAAGCTGCCTTCTGATTGGTCATTCCATTGGTCGGTCAAAGTTCGCGCAAGGTCAGTCTGGCGTGACCCGTAATGGGATGTCCTCAGATCTTTGTTTAGCGGTAGCGAGAACTAAGATCTGATTTTAATGAGATTGAAAATCCTAATACTTTAAAACAATGCAATCTAATATAGCACATAGTTACTTCCCTTTACATGACAATGCTGTACTGTGCATCTCATGTTATGGTCATGGCGACAATAGGAGAGTGTGTGCTTGTTTATGTAGGGAGGCCTTTTCCCAGGTTGATGGTACACAACTGTTTATTTGGTTACATACTAGTTTGAACAAGCACCCCCCAAAAAAAAAACATCACCCGTCTGCGCTATATCTTCAAAAGTCTTTGCCTGAGAACCAATTCTCTTTCATTTCAAGCCTTACCTGTTAGCTGCATTCACAGTTTTGGGAGACACTGTGTCCCTTTTCAGTATCCGGACTTGAGGCTGGTACTCAGTCCTAGCAGTCTCTTCCCTCATCCCAGCTGCCAAAACTGAGGCACTGAATTAAAGAAACACAGGAAAAACATTGTCAATATTTTTACTCAAATTATGCTTGTAACACTGATAATAAGCACCCGGGGTTTTTCACGATTTCTGGGCCTGCAAGAACATACTGGGGTAACCATTCTTTTTTATCCAAAACATGCCTAATTTGGATCAGACAAGTGGATATCCAACAATGTATTCAGCTGACAATTTCTTATCAGACATTAATCAGAGAATCAGAGATGCCCTTCTCAACTAACATGGGCATTCCCCTATTCCTGTGATTGGTTCATTATCAAACGTCCTTGCAAGAACAAAACACCACAGATTTATCTAGGATTTCAACCTAAGTGATCTTGGCAGGCAAATTGGAAAAAATCTTTTAATTTGTTCAATATTGTGATTTTTATTTTATTTTCTTGAAAAATCAAAGGTATAAGTATTTTACTGATGAATTTTAACATTGCATTCAATGCAATAATGTTAAACTAAGCATTTAAGTCTCTTCCTCTTAAACAGTCATGTTATTATATAACCCGAAACACGTGTCAAAACATGTAGTGTCAACCTGGGTAAGTGACATAGTTCAAATGTGCCTCTGTTCACCCAGCAGGGAATGGGTACCCGATATGTGAGGAGGATGTAAAAAACATCTAGCGCCCCGAGGTAGCTTGGGCTGCATACTCCCCAGGGAGCTGAGAATGATAACTGGAATGTAAATGGATCCACAGGTCGGGGAACAAATAAAACCACATTTGAGCAGATACTAGTACCTGGATACCTGCTGTATATAAATGTATAATATAATAACAATAGTTTAGGGATCAGCCCATAACCATGATAAAAATAGCTCTGTTTACAGCAAGGAACTTTGGCCACTACTCCATAGCCTGAATTTAACCAAATTTCACCTTATATCAGTATATGCATATAGTCAATACATAAACGCTAAAACCTAAACATGCAAAATAAAATGATGTCAAGAGATAATCTTGGTCTCAAATTTGTTTTCACATTATATGATTCAAGGGTTGATTGATCCAGAAAACCAATGACCAAATAAGATATCACTACTGTTCTATATTTGGAACGGTTCACGGTGCCACCACATAAAATGAAATGATACTTTGATAAGAATGTATTTTGACACGTACACTATTATTGTATTTGAGTGCGTATTATACAGGAATAAATAAATCCTGTGTACATTGATCAATCGGAAGAGGTGCTAATTGGGATTGTTCACTAGCCAACATATCAGCAAATATCACTGTGGGCGCTTATTATGATGAATACTGTACTTTGAACACAATGAAGAAGCATGGCCAACTTCCAATGGTGACAGTTTACTGACAGTAAAAGCTAGGGAGTATTAAGAGTGTGGTTAGCTATGTCACTCTTTAAAACAAAAAAAATCCTTAATATAAATTTACCCAATCACATGCATGTTTGTTAGTTGCAGCCATTTGACAGATACCTGTAAATCTGTATGTTTACATGGCCTATTTTAATTCAGATAATCCAGTACACTTACTGTATACATATACATGATTAACAAATCCGTATTCAAAAGAAACTATTATCAACTTACTATATCCATTGACGGTTTTAGAAGTTTTCTGGAAAATCAGACAAGCAACAAAACATAACAAACTCATAACAAATATGCTTGTGTGAAGAAGCTGATAACTTACGTGGCTGTTTTGGGAGCTTTAACTTTCATTTCATTCAAACGCTTGTCCAAAATCTGAAACATGACACAAAAGTTTCAGTTAAAGTGTTTGCCAACAGAATTTTGTTAATTCACACACTCTGTTTTCACATTATACACAATGGACATCATACTTGACATTGTTATAAGGACAACAGCAAAAACCGACGGCGGGTACGTTGTCATTGTTGGTCTGGCAGCTTCATGAAGCCATGCAGGCTAATGACGACAGAGTCGAAACTTGATCCCTACAATAGTTTAAATCTTCCGCTGTCTCCAAAAACATCTCGTGGTTCTAAAAACCTCCAAACAAACATTAAGTAATACTGAAAAAAAAGGTTCTACTAATCTTCTTGTCCGATTTGCATGAACATTAGAACCAGGCAACGGTTCAAAATGAGGGGGTGTTGGGGGATTTGTTGACAATAGCTGAATAAGTCTAACTGTAAGTCAACCTCAGTACTTTGTAAAATCCTCCCAAACCGTTTTTAAGAACAGATTATCAAAGCTGTGTGTCTAGAAGTATTACACGTAAACACAAATGTTATAATTAAGAGGAACTAACGCCCTGATCTTCTTGATCTTCCCAACTGTCAAGCACTTCTCCGTCTTCCGCCATTGCGGCTTCCTCAGCCGATTTCTGAATGTTGTAAATGAATTCCTCAGCAAAATATCTTGTATGTCATGTATGTTGAAATTAAGATCATCAGGGTACTATTTTCAAGTCACGTAGAACACATTCACTTTATATCTTTTTATATGACACACATATAAGTTGAATGTTTACTGTCGTAAAAGAGAGTGTGTCGTAAGGAAATGAGGCCCTGGTAGGGTTTTTAAATACACGCTCTGTTTTTCATCTTACTTTTAAAAAATGCAACTTAACGTTTCTGGCGTTATATACTCACATTGTAGACAAGGGAAATTATGAATGAGGGAAATAAACCAATCACATCAATTTTGGAAAATACACAACAAAAACAAATTCCACTCTTCGATCCACATTTTATATAATCCACATTTTCCAAAATGTCGACAGACGCAAAACAAGCTAAGATGGACATTGACATATCTTCTCATGACAAGGGAGTCCTCAATTGTATATTTAACCCAGGATTACCTTATGGGGATTGTGTAGAAGAGGACAAACCCGAACCAGCTTTATATATAATTGGTTTGTACTGTCACAGTTTGAAACATTTGCTTTTTACTATAAACATTAGCTCACCTTGACATTTTGATATGGGGTTGCGTCGTGCGACTCTACATTAACAATATATAGAGTAGTTAACACAACACAAACGTTTTTAGCAAACTGATATAGATGTTTTATGTCGAAAAAACAAATATGACAATGTTTTGGGGACGCTTTGGTTTAATATTTTCTGGAAATATTTTCTGCATCCACGGGATTTGATGTAGAAAGTTTCATCTTTGAGCGAGGGTCTTGTTTTGGGGTAATCTGTTTAGCTTATAGCAACTAGATCAACAAAAGTACTATTTTAAATGTAAGATGAGTGAATGTTTTAGTGCGAAAGATAAACTTAAAACGGCTTAGCATAAATTAAAACTTTAATGTATTGTTAATTGTGGTTCATAAAAGACACAACAAAACCAGACAGTGTTTGATATTTGCAAAACACAGACTGCAGTAATGAAACAAAAGCAGACCAACTGTCCCTATGTTTCCCTATATATACAGGCCGATGATCTGCATTTGCATAGAGATGATTTCCCATTTTAGATTCAGCTTAATAGATCATGCATGATGTATATCTGATGATATACTGTTTTCAAGACAAAACTTAAAAGATTGAATGGTTTTTGCATTCACTATTGATATCCCTACTGCTTTCACTATTATAAATAAGACCAACTAGAGAAGAACTCATCAATTGAAAATAAACGTTAAGAAAAATGTGTGATTTATGCTACCCATGGCCCATTATGCCAAAGACACATGGCTGTCACATGATCAAGTTTTTCGTAATTGAGTGAGTATAGTTTTACGCAGCTATCAACAATATTCCAGCAATATCACGGCGGGGACACCAGAAATAGGCTTCACATATTGTACCAATGTGGGAATCAAACCTGGGTATTCTGCTTGACAAGCAAACACTTTAACCACTAGGCTACCCCACCACCCCTTTTCGTAATTGAAAATACAGAGCTATTTTGGGGAAGTGTCCTCAATTTATTTGTTTGATTTTCACAGCAATTTACTTACACTGTTTTAAATGTTCAGGCTGTTTATGCTTAATTTCCGTATCAATTATTTTGAGAAACAGTTTTTATGATATGGTTCAAAAGTTATCAAAGCTGAATTTAAAATAATTCAGTACTGAGTTGCATCCAAAAAACATGTCACAAACCTATGATCATTGGATCATGTCCCAGGCTTGCTCTTATTATGAGAGGGGTGGCTGAGTAGCAGAGTGGTTAAAGCGTTTGCTTGTCATGCCGAAGACCCAGGTTCGATTCCCGACATGGGTACAATGTGTGAAGCCCATGTCCCCCGCAGTGATATTGCTGGAATATTGCTATAAGCAGCGTAAAACCATACTGGCTCTTAATATGACTTTAGGCTTCTCACCAGCATACAATTGCTCATGGTTTTCGCCAAAGTGGTTAATTTCTAACACCTGCGTCACTTCGGCTTTCCTTCCACATCAAGCTGACACACCGTGATATACTGTTCAATGCAATGTAATTTATAAAGCACGTGTGGTGCTTCTGTGGCAAGTGAATTTGTTCGAAATATGCCTTTGTTCACCCAGCAGTGAATATGCCTCTGTTCACACAGAAGTGAAGGGGTACCCGGTAGGATGCGATAGTAATGTGACTGTTAACCTTCAATCCGCCAACAGTCAGCTTGGGTTGTATACTCCCCAGGGAGCTGAGAATGAAGGCGAGTGCACACTGATCCATCGACCGGGGTATAAATGATGCAGCAATTTGAGCATACCCCTGTATGATGTGGAAATATGGTAAGATATTAATGGCCTTATTATTAAACCAAACTCGCTAATTTTTACAGAGGAGAGTGAAGAAGTGAAGCAGGCGAAGGCTTTAGAGCTGGAAGCAGTCAAGGCAGCTGAGTCGGGCGACCTTGAAACTGCCCTTGACCTCCTGAATGAAGCTGTGACCAGGTTCCCTGACTGGGCATCCTCATATAACAACAGGGCTCAAGTTCTACGCCTACAGGGAGATGTCAAAGGTATTTGTTTAAGGCTATGATCATTTGTAAGGGAAAATTAAACAGCAGTGTCTTGTTGCATGCCTTTGATGTAGTGTGTTGATGGGACTCAGGAATGGTTCGTTTATTATCATAATTATTGCCTCATGAATCTCTCAGTCCCTGTATTCAGGAGATAGGCATAGTGTGCTTACGATGTAGGCTTTGATGGAATGTAGATTGATGTCATTAAATTAAATTTGGTACTGAACACACAGCATGAGGTTTAAAATGTCACATTTTGTATTGTCAAATTATAGGTACCATGACAAAATGTAACATAAATGCTTTGGTTTTTTAAAAGATAATGAGTGACTTGACATGGGTTGAGTCTAGTGTTTTTTATATGTTTTGATTCGTTTTAAGGAATCACAGATAATCACCTTAAAACCAAGTACTGTCAAGTCTCATTAATCCGACACTCGTTAATCCGATAGTCGGCTTTATCCAACACTAATGATGTGAGCCAATTAAATTAATGCTATTTTGACCTGTTAATCTGAAAGTCTCGCACTCTGACTCAGACACACCTAATTTGCAGTGAATTACCGAAATCACTCATTCGGCTGGTAGCTGCATATAATAAAGCTGCAGGGATAAACCTTGCTTAACAATAAACAATTAATGCTTTAAATAAAGAAAACAGGATTAATCACATGCTTAGATTACCTCAATCTCATTAAAATCAGATACAAGTTCTCGCTATCGTCGAGGACATCCCATTACAGGTCACGTCAGAAGAACTATGACCGACGAACAGTGCTACTACTTAATTTCGTTTATCTGACAAAATCATATGCAACCAGCCATGTCAGATTAATGGGACTTGACAATGTTGCGTCATGTATTCAAGCATTGATTTTTACATCAATAAACTGAACTGAGAGGCATTGAAAGTGTGCTTCACAGCTACACTTGTAAGCAAACATTAAATGGTGACCCTTCAAGAAAATGAAGCGACGGTGGGGTAGCCTCGTGGTTAATATGTTTGCTTGTCACGCCGAAGGGCCGGGTTTGATTCCCCAGATGGGTACAAAGTGTGAAGCCCTTTTCTGTGTCCCCGCCGTGATATTGCAGGAATATTGCAAAAAGTGTCCTAAAACCTATTTCACTGACTCACTTCAGGAAATGAAATGACCATTGCAAGGTTTAGTTCTAAACCATCACCTTTATTATGTCTCTTGTGGCACGATAGTTGTATCTCAGTCAAGATAGAGAAGCTCCAGATAACATTTCTGAGGTCTCTAAATTTTGGAATACCCTCTCTTAGTTTGTTTCTATTGTTTCCTGCCTAAAATGTATGGCCATCCATACTTTGATTATTGTAGGAATCACATATCTGCATTCTTTGACCTGCATTTGTTAATGTTATTATTTGAAAGTGCCTTCTGACGGTGAAATATTAGCTGCTAGTGATATCTGTCTTGTCATATTCACTGTTTCAATCAGAGTAGTTGTAGTGATTTGAAACCTCTGATTAACCAATCAGAATCAAGTATGCTTCAAATTCATGGTAGAATTCTTGAGGTTTTTTATGGGTTAAAAAAATAAAAGATAAATAAAATGAAAGATAAATATGTGATAATATGCCAGACTTTGAGATGTCTCATGATTCGTTAATTACTATTTCAGATTCATATATTAATTTTAGAAAATTGATTTGCAAGTGTAGAATGACAGTCCTAATTTTTAATCTTTCAAAGATTTTACTTGTTATGGTATTATTATGTTTCAGGAGCATTGGATGACTTGAATAAAGCTGTAGAGCTGAGTCGGGGCGAGGGCAAGGTGGCGTGTCAAGCTTATACCCAGATGGGACTCATCCACAGACTAGAAGGTGGGTGATCAGCAACTTTCCTCTCAAACAGAAGGTATTATCCATTACTTCTTTCAGTGGCATTTAGAAGTTGGTGTGATGAAGAAAGACAAGTTCTATGGATGAACAACTTCTTTATTAACCATTAGAATAAAAGACGTCAGTACAAAAAAATGACTCAAAATCAGCCATCTCCGACCACACCCAAACCCACCCCGACCACAACATCAAGTGGAACAACATCAAGATCCTGGCCAACAATCAGTCAGACTACAAAAACAGAAAACTCCTAGAAGCTGTCTCCATCAAAAGGATCCAGCCAGCAATGAACTGAGATCAATTCTTTTGTTTTCGAGAGATTAGTTTAATAAACTGGAGAAGCCTGTGAGTAAGTGATGGTCATTTAATTTGTTCATAGTTTATTTAATTCAATTGGATTAACATACGATAGTGGCGGCAATGTTTGAAGTTGAATTGAAGTAAATTGGTGAGTTACTGCATAGGTGTATAAAAGTAGGAATATATTTATTGACTGGCATTCTCATCATGAATTCAAAACGAAAACGCCACGCTTACGATGCTGCATTCAAACTGCGAGTCGGCTCTGTTACTGAGTCGACAAACAACAATGCGGCTGCACGACAGTTTGACATTAACAAGAGGCAAGTTAGAAATTGGAGGAAAGAAAAGACGGCACTAACAGAAATGCCGAAAACCAAGAAATCTAGACGGTTTGCCGTATCACCATACATTAAACTAGAGGATGTCCTGTATGAGTGGATAACAGAACAAAGACAGTCTGGTTACATGGTAACCAGAAATATGATTCCCCAACGGGCACTGACGGTTTACAAGGCGAAGAAAAAGGAATTCAACCTCCCAACAACGTTTAAGGCATCGTCACACTGGTGTTCAAGGCTTATGAACAGGAGACACCTTACTCTCAGGCAGAACACCCACATCGCCCAGAAGCTGCCTGACCAGGTCAACACAAAAGTGGACTTGTTTCATGCCTTTGTCATCAAAGAACGGAAGGCTATGGCCTATGAACTTGGTCAAATCGGCAACATGGACAAAACCCCTTTGAACTTCGATATGCCAGGCTCCAGAACAGTAGACCACCTGGGTGCCAAGACCATATCGGTGAAGACAACGGGGAATGAGAAACAACATTTTATTGTTGTTTTAACGTGTTTGGCTGATGGGACGAAACTAAAACCTATGGTTGTATTCAAAAGAAAGACAATGCCAAACGACAAGTTTCCGGGTGGAGTTGTTGTCGCGGTACACCCGAAAGGATGGATGGACGAAGAGTTAGTTAACAGATGGGTAACAGATGGGTGGATGTCAAGGCCGGGTGGCATGAGGGGATGTAAATCGTTACTTGTATGGGACATGTTTCGAGCCCACCTGTGCCCAAGTGTAAAGAAGAAGTTGACCGAAAGCAAGACGTACCAGGCAGTCATACCAGGCGGATGTACATCCCTTCTCCAGCCCCTTGATGTATGCCTAAACAAGCCATTCAAGACCAACTTCCGGGAGAAGTGGTCGGAGTGGATGCTGAACGGCGATCACACATTCACCAAATCTAACGCCATGAGAAGAGCTCCACTCGCAGAAGTAGCAAAGTGGGTGGTGGAGTCTTGGGATGAGATCCCCACAGACATGGTTCAGAAATCCTTTTTGAAATGTGGAATTTCTAACGCAATGGACGGGTCTGAAGATGACATTTTATTCAAGGAGTTTGTGTCCCCCGCCCTGGTTTCCACGGATGTGGAAGATGTCATGTCATGTGATAACCTCGATGACTATTACGATGATTCGACAGATGTAGCTGCGTGGGCAATTCTGGCCGGTGAAGACAGCGACACCGAATTTGATGGCTTTACAAAGGAAGATGTGATGTAAATAATAATGTATATATGTTTTTATTTGTTACAAGGGATGATGTGATGTAAATAATAATGTATATATGTTTTTATTTGTTACAAGGGATGATGTGATGTAAATAATAATGTATATATATTTTTATTTGTTACAAGGGATGATGTGATGTAAATGTAGCAGGGCGTGGAGTCATCCCACAGATGACATCCTTACCTTGTCAGCTTGCTGACGGGGTTAACCTCTTTGGTCATGTGGACAAGGCGTCCGACCTCTGATCAGAAGGTCCGTGGTTCGAATCCCATCATGGGACTCGGAAATTTTATGGCCGCTACATTGGCGCCCAACGTGGGGCTGAGCACGTTCATATTAAATTTGAGCAAAATAAGCCTCAGTACCCTACTATGCGGCCCGGGACGTGCCTTCTGTTGACGGGGGAGTATGTAGCAGGGCGTGGAGTCATCCCACAGATGACATCCTTACCTTGTCAGCTTGCTGACGGGGTTAACCTCTTTGGTCATGTGGACAAGGCGTCCGACCTCTGATCAGAAGGTCCGTGGTTCGAATCCCATCATGGGACTCGGAAATTTTATGGCCGCTACATAAATAATAATGTATATATGTTTTTATTTGTTACAAGGGATGATGTGATGTAAATAATAATGTATATATGTTTTTATTTGTTACAAGGGATGATGTGATGTAAATAATAATGTATATATGTTTTTATTTGTTACAAGGGATGATGTGATGTAAATAATAATGTATATATGTTTTTATTTGTTACAAGGGATGATGTGATGTAAATAATAATGTATATATGTTTTTATTTGTTACAAGGGATGATGTGATGTAAATAATAATGTATATATGTTTTTATTTGTTACAAGGGATGATGTGATGTAAATAATAATGTATATATATTTTTATTTGTTACAAGGGATGATGTGATGTAAATGATAATGTATATATGTTTTTATTTAGTTATTTGAACACAAAACAAATAACCAAAAATACACTGATTTGAAACTAAATTTTTGACTTGTGTTTTCGTTTGTTGGTACATTTTCTCACGGGTTCATAATTCTATATACACCGTTTCACAAAATGGCGCTTCGTTGTTGATGGCAACAAAAACGATCACAATGAGATTAAAAAAACCCAAGAGAAACAGCGTCCCACATTATGAAAGTAGATGACTGGTTTGTAAAATGTTTATTAGAAATAATAATGACTTTTTCAATAAAATTACAACGTTTTTCATCTTATATTATTGAATATCTGCGAGTACCGCCACATGTCTTCGACATCGGCGCAGACCGTCTTCGCAGTGTTTTTTTCCCTGCACTTCCTGGTTCAGCTTATCTGCGGGTCATATCATTTTCTTTCGTATTTCAATGGTCAAGTTAACACCTCGGCTTATCTACGGGATCGGCTTACCATCACCTAATTCCCTAAATCCCTATGTCCATCCCATTAATCCACTGGCTTCCAATCATCCCTATCAGTCTGCTTGCTGACTCTGTGTCCATTAGACAATTCACTGGCTTCTAATCCACTGGCTTCTAATCATCCCAATCAGCTTCCGTGGTCGTTTACCCTGTCCCATTAGTCATTCACGGGCTTCCAATCATCTTAATCAGCTCTCTGTGTCCATCAATCAACTTACTGTATAAACATTGATGTTAATAAGTATATATATACCTATGTTGTTCAGCCCTATCACTTGCTTGATAAAGGTGTTAGGATCTACACCGAAACGTAGCACTAATTGTAATAAAGAGGTATTATCCATTGCTGATAGAAAATTCCTTACTGGGCACCAAATATTATAGCCATTATGGTTTGGGGGTTGCACAAAGCGTTGGCAATACAGAATTATTAGTACCGGTACATGAGTTCAGCGAAAGAGTTAAAGATTGTTTGTTTCAAGATTGGAATGCATCTCAAGGCAGCAAGACTCTGTTATTCTATAAACTGAATATATCTTATATTGTTTGCGAAAAATATTTATCAAATATTAAGCATTGTGAGTATAGAAGGCCAATAACCAAATTTAGATGCAGACAAAATACAACTTGTTCGTAAGGGTGTTGCTAATATTGAGGATGATGCCAGTCTTATGTAAAGACGTCATGTAATTAGGATGAACTTCATGTTATATACAATTGTCCTGTTTATGCAAGTCGGCGGGATATGTTTATCCCAAAGAGAGTTAATCATCATTATTTTTGTTTAGAAAGACTGTCAATTATCCAACAATGATACAATGGTAATTTTGCAAAATTTCTGATGTATGTGTTCTCATCAAAGAAAAGTATCAATTAGGTAACTCTTTGATAAATATGATGTAAATGTATTTTGTACAATTGGTCAGTTGGCCTTAATATAAATAAATAAATCTGTCTGTCTGTCTTTCTGTCTGAAACAAACAGAAGTCTCTTCTGAAGTCATCGGCATAACACATGCTATGTCTGACTTTACTTTGCAATTTTTGGTTGGTTCATTATTCATGCCGAAGCATCACAGCTTAAAGTAGGGTGTTAGGACACAAGTCGAAATTCAGTAGTTTGTAGCAAATGCTAGTACAAACTCCCAATTCTCCAGAATTGACGAATATGAAAAACATAATCAAATCAAATCAAATTGGTCGAATCTACACACACACCCAAAAGAAATGCAAAACATAAAACCATATAGAGAAGTAGAGAAGATTATATACATTATTTCCAATGTGTACCAATTAATGACAAAACTAACAATCAGTCAAGTGGTACCAGAGTGTCTTTATTCTTATTACGATATGCTGCATGTGATTTCCAAACTTTACATGCTAATCCGGCAAATGGTGCACCACGAGTCATGGATCTATGATGTCACATGAGTGTCGGTTCACACAGAATACCAGTATGTTCATTTGTGCATCAAACCAATCTAATATCTCTAGAATATGAGTAATTTTTCATATATTAACCAACATGTATGATATTTGCGTTATATAAATTATTTATTTTATTTCACCTAAACTCTATTTTGTTCTGTTTCGTTGATAGGAAGCATTGATGTAATAACCTGCTATGTTGCCATACATTGCCCTTGTTATGAACACAAAATGCCCTTTAGAAAGTGGTACCACT